TTTATTCACACGAAAGTGCGTCGCTCAATAAAATGGTCACGTTTGTCGTGAAAATGCGCCTTCTATAAGTTAAATAGGAGAATTGCCCAGGAAATTTGCCTACAAAGGTGTTTTACACCAAAATTGTGACCTGCAGCGTGTGAAGAGCTTTATCTTCATATGAAAATGTTCTGCATATTCATGAGATAATAAAAGCTTATCACTGTTCTTCGCACATTTTGACATATTTGATTAACTTCTCTTCCTTTTTTTTGGGGGATGAAAAGTTGATAAATTTCGCAGAAAACTTGGATGACAGGCGGGGGGAAAAAAACCGTTGGAAAAACTACAAAGAATATTAATAAAAGCTTACGATAAAGTTTTTTGTAAATGCCAAGGCAAATGCGAGTAATAATCTCTGGACGAAAGAAATGCAAGAAAGTTTCATGCGAATAAAGTTGTGAAAAGTTTAATGAATTTACGGATTTTAACAGAATTTTTTTTCTCGTATTGCGTTTCGACGGGTGAATGGAAAACTATGAAAAGTCGATTTATCATAGTTTTCGTCTTGTGTATTTTTAAAAAGCCTTTTATTTGTTCTTTCTGTACAAGAATTTTAAGATTTGTATCTTATGAGACAATAGAAAAAAATCTTATTTATCTAAAAAGCACAAATGGAAAAAAAAAATTGTCATGTTTTGCGAATGAAAAGTCGAATTTTCATTATTTACGCTGTACAATTTTTCCCCAAGAAAAATGTCTCAAAAATTGCAGTCAAATGCATAAAAACGTCTTTTTAGAAAATATTTGTAGATTTTCAGAATTATCCTAAAATGTTTTTTTGGACTTTAAATGAATATTTCTCATATCTTTTAAATTTTTTTCACTTGAAAACATTAAGAAAAAGTTCAATTGAAGTATGAAAAGTTGATTTTTTGTATAAAATCGACTGAAAAACCATTAAAAATCGACTTTGAAAAGTAATATTTTCAGATTTTCTATTAATTTTGCCACATTTTAGTGAAAAATTTCAATAAATACCAATAAAACATTTACAAAATAAAAAATACAGAGCAATATTTTCACTTTAACGAACGATTTGAAGGCATTTTGAGTATTTTGAAGTAAATTTGGCAAATTTCGCAGCTGTTTTAATGCAAAATTTTGAACTCGCTTTGATGAAAAATTGCGATTTTGACTTTTGATAGTTTTCCATTCACCCGTCAGTTTGGAGCTTTTTTACAGCTTTCAAATTAATATAAAACATCTACTGAAGTCATTGTTTATCAAAATTCGCTGTATAAAACATGCCAAAATGGATCAATTTGTAGGAAAAATTGAATCATGCTGAGCGAAATTACCTTTCATTTCTCACTTTATGCTCAGCATTTTGCAATTTCCCCCCTCCCCCCAAACGCTTTTTGGGGGTGAGAAATTACGGAAAAATAATTCCTCTGATGTTATTGATTTTCAAACCCTTCTGATGCCAAAGCCACATTCAAGTCGCAACGAAATAACGAGGCTATTTGTGAGATTCCTGGGAATTGTTGTGCAATTGCAATCGAATCACTTTGATTCAAGCGATCCAAATTCTATGTAACAACCGTAATCAATATCGCACGGAGAAGCCTTTGTGAATCACACGTTCGGCAATCAACACGCACAAAACCACCCCCTGGAAAAGAGCGCATCCGCTGAGGGTGAATAATCATGGCTGAAAGGTTGCATACGAAATTTTAATCAGGCGTCGAATGTGGGTCGAAAATTTACCCAATTAATTGCTCACCGCAATTTACTCGTTAGTTTGATGAGCTTTCACAATGAAAATTCACCACAAAACCATGTGTTGTTTGGTGGAAATTCTATATGTGGAAATTTGATGACGATATATGGACTGTGACTCACATTTGCAAGAACACTTCCTTTATTTTATGCTAAAGCTGGAATTGGAGCATGAAATTTTCTATCTTCCCTGCTGAATTTTAATCATTCTGCAGATTTTCCCTGCAGCATCGCTTTAAATTCACCAGCACATTTTTGATATTCTATCAACGGAATATTTCCGCTGGATCCTTTCCGTGAACGTGAGCTGCGATTCAGTGGCGTTGTGAGGAAAATGACTTGCTAGTAGTAAAAATAAGTGTGCTTTTCTCATTGATTCACCCAGAATTCGTCTTTGAGAAGTAGAAAATAGAGAAATTTCCCATGTTTAAATATCAAATAAAGGATATTTCTTATATTTCCAGTAGCCACGCCCACTCAATTGCTCCGCCCTCTTCATTTATACGCTTCTTTCTACGCCACTGCGCTGGAGTTTCCTCCGAATTTGCCACTGGGAATTTAAAAAGAGAGCAACAAGTCGTCGGAACAGGTTTTATTGCAAGATTTGAGCAATGCTTCACATACTGGAAAAGTGGATTAAGCTTCTGTACTATCAAACATCATTTAAATTGCCAATTTTGGTGGATTTTGAGAGATAAATTAGCTATTAAAATCAATAATTGGTCGAGTTTTGGCGATTTTGAGTGATTTCAATTGCACACAGAATTGCTATTAGTTAATATTAAAGAGGTTTTTTTCTGGATGAAATATTAAAGCTTATATTCTATAGATAATTTCATTCTCTCTGTGTTTTTATGGCCTATAACATTTTTTTTCGGGAGTTATTTTCGAATGTAACAAATGTAACAATAAAACCCTTTGTGTTTTTGTGTCTTTTTTTTATACAATTCATCTCATAAACGTATTTTGATAACCATTGCAAAATGAATTTCAAGCCATTTCCTCTGCAACTCCAATCTAAACTACCTTTTGATAGGATTCTCTGGAGCTTTTCCAACCGATGCGAGTGGAAGAAAAAAAAACTTTTATGCGCCCCTGAAACAATATGTAAATTTCCCTGTGCAATTTCATAAGAAAAAAGAAAAATCCCCGCAATTTCCAGGCCATGAGAAAACTTCTGACAATGAAGAAAAGTTTTAGTTTCGCCTACATATGAACCAAGGGGCAAATCACAAGGCGATTTTTGAGGAAACTTAATGTTCTCTAATGCAATAATAAATTATTTGAGTTAAATAATCAAAAAATGATTATTTTCCCAAGTAAAATTGAAAAATAATCAAATTATGGTTTGAATAATTAAAAAAAAGATTATTTTTTCAACTAAAATTGAAAAAACATCTTATTTTGAATAAATAATTTAAAAAAAATTATTATCCCGAGTAAAATAACAAAAAAAATCAAAATAAACAAATTCTGAATTGAGTGATAAAAAAATGAATATTTTCTCGAAATAAATTGAAAAATAATCAAATTTAAAAAAAATTATCCAAAAATTATTTTTTTCCAAAGTAAAGTTGAAAAAAAAAACAAATTTTGGATAAAATAATCAAAAAATTATTGTGTTCCAAATTAAAATTGTAAAATAATCAAATTTTGAATCAAATAATAATAAAAAAAATAATTATTTTCCAAAGTAAAATTTAAAAATATTCAAATTCTAAATAAAATATCAAAAAAATTATTATTTTCCAAAGTAAAATTACAAAAAAATGTCAAAAGAATCAAATTCCGAATTGAATAATTAAAAAAAAAGAATTTTTTTCTCAAGTAAAATTGAAAAAAAAATCGAAATTTGAATTAAAATCACAAATAATTAAAAAATAATCCGAATTTGTGTGAAATAATCAAGTTTTGAAGAAAAATTCAGAAAATAATCAAAAAATAATCCGAATTTGTAAAAAATAAACAATTTTTCATTACATATTAAAAAAAAATACAAAAATATTCAAAAAAAAATCAAATTTTGATTAAATATTCAGAAAAAAATCAAAAAATAATCAGAATTTGACTTAAAATCACAAATAATCGATAAAAAGATTGAATAATCACAAAGTTAATGATCTCAACTTGCGACTGACTTTCCCCTTGATATGAACCATTTTCTTGCCGCCAACTTCTACCTTTAAGCTAAACTCTGAGGCTTTAGTGCCGTGAAATTTCCAACTTATCCCCACAACAAAGATTTGCCTGGAGGTGTTCGTGGAACATAAATTTTTTGGCCCTTTTGCTGATAACTCAGCGTCTCGAGGCCCCCTTCGTCAAGCCATAAAAACTTCAATTTCCGCTGCCCATATCTGAAAGTGTTGCTCGTTAAAGCCACTAATTACGCGCGGAAGGGTGCAGAAAGCGATCCGTAGTTTGTGGAATTTTTCCTGGCCCTTTGACTGGCTTTAATGATAATTTAGTAAATTAAATTAACTGTCGTCATGCGAGAACTTCGGTTTTCGAGCTCCCTTTGCCTTCGGAGGGTGTCGAAGAAAGGTTAATGCGACTCTGTGGGTCAGTCGTGGGAAAGCTGGGATGGATTTCCCTAATGAAATTCCGCCCAAAGGAGGAGATAAATTTTCTCGACACTTTTCAGATCCTCAAAATTGATTTTACTAGTCACAAAGTTGGTTAGAAAATGCTTTCATTTCGATATTCTTGAATTGAATTGAATTGTGAGGTTATGAAATTGATTTAAGAATCCATTTTTTGAGCAAAAATAGAAAATCTTCATTTTTTAAGAATGATAAAGCTCTATTAAGAGTACAAATTGCTGAAATAGTGCTTCAAAAATCAATTTTTCAAGTTTAAACGAATATTTTTGAGGTTATGTTCGGACTTTGAAATAGTTTTACGACTTTTACAACGAAATTTTTAAGTTTTCTGATCAAAAATGCCAATTTATGTTTGAAAACACTAAAATTTTGTGTTTTTTACTGTAATTTCGACACTAAATTCGTCCCAAAACAGTCACATAACCTATAAAAAAGTGCTACAATTGATTAAAATCCAGATTCTGCGTGAATTTGAGGAAAAGGAGGCTTTCAAAAGGTGAACATCGTTGATATCTTGACTTTTCTAGATTTCTTAGTACTTTGCCGAGCTGTACACCATTTCTGACTGCAATATCTCCCCCTTGTTCGTCCCCATTCACGCCGCGCCGCCCATTGAGACCCAATCCTGAATGGACTCACCTCCGCGCTTCTGCATCGGGGGCTCCAGGTGGCCGTAGAGTCTGCTCAGATCGATGCCAAACGTCGGCGACACCAGCAGGATGATCCCGAGCGACGTAAACCAACTAATTCTCGGCATCTTCACTCAATCCAAATGAACTGGGGAGCACAATGACAGGGTGACTCTGGTGTCCTCTCCAGCGCCTTGGCGGACAAAGGGCGGAAGAGGATGCCAGGGAATCGCACTTTTGGCGCGCACACTTCACCAGACAATGGGGCTTTCTTTGCTCTGAGAAATGAGGGGGAGGGGGAGGTGGAAAAAGGGTGAGACTTTACCAAAAAGGCGGAAAAACCGTGTGACCGTTGCCCGAGGGTGTGTTCGTGCCTCCCTTGAGTGTTCGCGGCCGTTGCAACAAGGAAATGAAGGACACAAAATCAAACTGTGCTGTGGCAGTTTGACGGTGTCCTGTTGCCTCGTGAGAGCTCCAAACTGAACTGTGGAGAGCCAGAGAAATGCATGAAAGTTTTATATGGAGCACACGAGACACTCGCGACGCCGCCCCGAGTGACGTCGCTCACGCACACACTCACGCGTCGGCCGCCAAAGAGACCACTCCCCAATCTCTCGCGCCAAAGCTCTCTCTCTCTCTCTCTCTCGTTCCCCGCGAAAGCCCCGCGGAGACACCAAAAGCTCTCTCGGCTTTTTGTGTCTTGGGAGCCGAAAAGCCGTTGCAACTGAAAATCCTTCATTCAGAATCTTTTTCCCATCATTTGCAAGTGTTGAGCTTCGTCTCTTCATTTCCTAATGATTGGAATAGAAAAATCTCTTGTATTCTGTGTTGTGCGCTGATAAATTATGAGGAAAATTCACAAATTAACGAAACAATTTTAACAAAAAGTAGAAAACACTTGGAAAGTTACTTGGAATGTCCTTTACAAAGTCAAAGCATTTACATTAGCGCATAGGGCGGCTGTTGCTCAGTGGTCAACGCGCTTGACTCACAGTGCGACAGTCGTGTGTTCAAATCCCACCGATTGCACAAATTTGAACACAGCAGAGTGTAAAAAATAAGTCTTCAATGGTAAAATGGTCGTTACTGTTGAATATTCCAGATGAAACATACGCTTCACTGGAGTTGTCTTGCGTTCTGTCCCTGTTAATATAATGTGGGGTTTAGAACCACTTATGGTTGGTGGGCAAAACTGATATAATTGGCCACCGTAAAACATTACTTTGACAATGGAAGGGAGGGAATAAATCCGCTCATCCATCGAATTCAGTGACACCAATAATGGGCCTCAATAATGGTGGCCTAGTCGGTTTCTGCGATGGATGATAAAGCAGAGTAACATTTAATGAAAAAACCTACGAATCTCCGAATTTAATCTACATTACTGCGTGTTTTAAAACCATTTACGTAAAGAGGACCGTTTTCAAATATGGCTCCGATGGGTCCGAACTTCTTTTCCGCTTCTTCTATCAAGGTGATAAAAGACCGATCAGCTGCGTATCTATCCTTGGTTCTCGCGGTTGCCGTCTGCATCATCATTCCCAATCCCCAAAAAAAAAATAACCTGATGATTTGACCTGAAGATGATTTAGAAAGGCTGAATAATTCAATGATAAACACTTTTGGTCAGTAAGTTGAAAGACGGATCCATCGAGACTTTTCATTGAGCTTCACTGGCTGTAGATTCCCAATATACGCCTTCCGATCAGCATCCTCAGGGCAGTGTGGGATGGTGGATGAGCTGATCCTGGCAGGAATTTGTCCGGAAGCGGCTCAGCTTCATGAGTTTGCTGACAAAAATGCGAACGTCTTCCTCTTGGACGCCTTTGAAGTGCGTTTTCTCGCTGAAAATCCCATCTTTTCAGCCACTCGGTGAGTCTGCCGTCGTTTGCAAGAGACGGAGAGTGTCTCGAAGATGACCACACCGGGCATGTGCGTGAAGATTGACTCTGAAGTTGACTCCGACAGATCTCGCACAGTCACTGGGTGTCTTTTCACTAATTTTGACGCGATTTCACTGCGATTTCTTGGGATTTCATTCCAGAATATTCTGCCCTGTTGGGAATTGTGTCTGATTCACCGGCAGAGAAGCCCAGACAATAAATTCCGGCAGTTTCACGGCGGCAACACACTTAAATTGTTCATTCATGCAATTTCTATGTTGCAACCGTTTTTCACCTTTGAATCCGAGGCAATGTTTCACGTGTGTTTCATCGTCGTCTCTTGGCGTGTCGGCAATGCAGAGCGGCACTCGTGCGAGAGAAGCGAATCTTTGACAGCCGGTCGGCGTCACAGTGTGAGTGCGAGAGTGTAAACAATGTCAGAAGCGACATTCGGGAGTGCTTCCGGCCAGATCCTGGCCAAGCCGCTGCACCTGCAGCGCCTGGAGGCGGCTCTGGACATGGGCCCCTTCATGGCGTACGCGCAGGACTTCCTGTCGCGTCCGCTCACGAGCAGCGACGAGAGCGAAGTGGAGGGCGAAGTTCCCGGACAGAGTGGCAGGATTCCCGGCGTTGTCACGTCCAAGGAAGGTAGGTGATTGTGGTATTTGGCTGTTGGGGCGATTGTTGAGCGTGTTGTGGTGCTTTGCAGAGCGCACGAATGACAAGATTCGCGTGTACAACTTCTCGAACGTCGGGCCGGAGCGGAAGTGGCTGCAGGACGTCTTGCTGAGCGACACGGAGTCGGAGTCGGAGTGGCAGCAGATGGGCGAGGATGAGTACGTGCGGGAGATGCTGAAGAGTCACCTGAGAGAGCGCCAGATGCGCGCCAAGTTCTACAGGAGCTCCAACAATGCGCAGTACGGATATTACGGCGCCGGGCTTCTGTCCAGCGCTGACATGTTCCCGGAGCACCAGCGCTCGATTGTGGGCTCGCGCAAGAAGCGCGCCAAGGAGAAGAAGCGCAAGAAGCGCCCGAAGATGCCCAAGATGGCCAAGAAGTCGGGCAAGATGAAGATCGACTGCGTGGCGGGAGAGCTGGAAGTGGGCGAGGTGGATTGGGACGACCAGATCGGCGGCGTGAAGGTGGAGATGGAGGATGACTTTGACTCCAAGTCGCACAGCTCCGTGAGCGTGGCGGCGCCCAAGATGTCGGGCAGGGCGCGCAAGAAGGCGGCGCTGCTGAAGACGCCGGAGATGCAGGCGCTGCGGCGGCGCAAGGTGTGGCAGCAGATGGCGAAGAAGGAGCTGGGCAAGGTGCAGCGCGCCAAGGTGAACAACCACAAGGAGATGCTGACGAATTGCAAGCGCGTGGCGACGCTGTGCATGAAGATGTTCCGCCAGAAGGCGATGCAGTCGCAGAAGAACATGAAGGAGACGGTGTGGCGCGCCAAGCGGCTGACCAGGGAGATGCAGGGCTACTGGAAGCGCTACGACCGCGTGGAGCGCGAGACGCGGCGGCGGATGGAGAAGGAGGCGGAGGAGCAGCGCAAGATGGACGTGGAGTTGATTGAGGCGAAGCGCCAGCAGCGCAAGCTCAACTTCCTCATCACGCAGACGGAGTTGTATGCGCACTTCATGTCGCGCAAGGTGGGCTTCGTGTCGGAGGAGGAGCAGATGCGCATCCTCAATCAGCTGGACGAGGAGTCCAATCCCAGACTGGCGGCCATCGATGACTACAACAGCGAGCTGATGAAGCAGCGCGCGCAGAAGAACGCCAGCGACGCCTTCATCACGGAGCGCGCGCGCACGCAGGAGTTCGACGTGCACGCGAATCGCGTGCCGCAGCCGGGATTGGAGGTGATCGAGGAGGTGGCGCAGCCGGAGATGTTCAAGGGCGTGCTCAAGGGCTACCAGATCAAGGGCATGACGTGGCTGGCGAATCTCTACAACCAGGGAATCAGTGGGATTCTGGCGGACGAGATGGGCCTGGGCAAGACCGTGCAGAGCATCGCCTTCCTCTGCCACATCGCCGAGCAGTACGGCGTCTGGGGTCCCTTCCTCATCATCAGCCCCGCGTCGACGCTCCACAACTGGCAGCAGGAGATGCAGCGCTTCGTGCCGGGCTTCAACGTGGTGCCGTACTGGGGATCGCCGCACGAGCGCAAGATCCTGAGGCAGTTCTGGGAGCAGAAGGATCTGCACACGAAGGACGCCAGCTTCCACGTGGTCATCACGAGTTATCAGCTCGTGGTGTCGGACTACAAGTACTTCAACCGCATCAAGTGGCAGTACATGGTGCTGGACGAGGCGCAGGCCATCAAGAGCTCCTCGTCCGTGCGCTGGAAGCTGCTGCTGGGCTTCAACTGTCGCAACCGGCTGCTGCTGAGCGGCACACCCATCCAGAACAGCATGGCGGAGCTCTGGGCGCTCCTCCACTTCATCATGCCGACGCTCTTTGACTCCCACGAGGAGTTCAACGAGTGGTTCTCCAAGGACATCGAATCCCATGCGGAGAACAAGACGGGCATCGATGAGAAGCAAATCTCGCGCCTCCACATGATCCTCAAGCCCTTCATGCTGCGCCGCATCAAGAAGGATGTGGAGAATGAGCTGAGCGACAAGATCGAGATCATGGTCTACTGTCCGCTCACCACGCGCCAGAAGTTCCTCTACATGGCGCTGAAGAAGAAGATCCGCATCGAGGATCTGCTGCACTTCACCGTGGGCGGCGGCGATGGTCCGTCGATGGACAAGAACTTCACCTCCAGCCTCATGAATCTCGTCATGCAGTTCCGCAAGGTGTGCAATCATCCGGAGCTGTTTGAGCGCCGCGACGCCAAGAGTCCCTTCGCCATGAAGTGTCTGGATTATCAGCTGCCGCGCCTCGTCTTCGACGACGGCCTCCTGCTGAGGAGCTTCCCCAGCCGGAGGCATTTGCTGGAGAATCGCTTCAACGTCTTCAAGGCGCACAGCGTGCAATTGTCGCTGTTTCCGCGACACGCCACGGACAAGGCGGTGAATTATGAGACAAGAGTGAATCTGGGACTGTCCAGCGCTTTCTCCTTCGCCAGATTCTGCCGCATGAGTCCGGAAGAGGCTGAACAGCACGGAGTGGCAGGATTGATCTATCTGTGAGTAATTTTTGAGTTTAAAGTCGATATTTTGCTTGAAAATTCAATTTAAAGCAGTTTTTCAAGTATTTTTTCACCATAACCTCAAAAATCATACTAAGAAATTTTCAAAAAATATTCAAAACTACTTGAGAAAAGAGTTAAAGTGTTTTATTTGTCTCAAAATTGGGGATTTTTATTCTAAATCATTTTAAAAATTACTTGAAATGAGTATTTTGCAACTTTAAAGCACATTTTTGAGGTTATGATCGACTTAAGCACAATTTTTCAGTGTTTCTTTTCGCTTAAAGGGTCAAAATTGCGATTTTTATTGCATACAAAAGCTTATTTCTCATGTTAATCTTATTTTAGATGCTTTTTACTTACTAAAAGTCTCAATTAAAATTGTCACATAACCTAGAAAATCATTTCAAGATCAAAAAATGATACAAAAATCATTTTTTTCCGGCAGAAATACAGCAAATATTGAAATTCTTTGAATTGATGATATTTTCTTCTCTTCAGGATCAATTTCATCCAAGAGCGACTGAAGATGCTGATCCTGTTGCGCCATCGCAGCGTGTGGTGGGAGAGAAGCGCTCTGCCGAAGGACGCGATGCTGTTGGAACCGATGCTGGAGGATTCGCTGAACAGGCTGTTCTTCTCCTTCGGCAGCGTGCTGAACGCTCTGCTCTTCACCGGCAACATCTCGTCGGTTTACACGCACGCGGATCACACGATCGTCTCCATTGCCGAGACGATGGAGCATCGGATAATCCGGAGCAAGAATCGCCGGATGGCGTCGAAGATTGAGGAGCTGAAGGTGGATGTTGAGGCTGTGAAGCTGCCGCCGTCGCCGCTCAAGAGTCCCACGGCGGGATTGCACGTGAAGTTGCCGGCCAAGTCGCCCACGGGCGCCGCCCAGAGCGGGCTGGCGCTGCTACCGGAGTTCCCGCACAAGCAGCACGGCGCCGTGACGCTGGAGTGTCGCCCCACGGACATGCCGGCGTTCGTCTACGGCCTGCCGCCGAAGGTGCAGACGTCCGGCCGGAGTCTCTACTGCGACAGCCGCGCGGCGCGCTGGGTGGCGATGCGCCACGAGCAGTGCGAGGACGCCGAGGGCCGGCGGCTGATGAAGGGTGGCCTCCAAGTGGCGCGGCCGCATCTCGGCTGGTCGTACATCACGATTCCCGACAAGCAGACGCTCGTGTCGGACGCCGGGAAGCTGTACGTGCTGGACGGACTGCTGACGCGGCTGAAGTCGCAAGGGCATCGCGTGCTGATCTACTCGCAGATGACGAAGATGATCGATCTGCTGGAGGAGTACATGTGGCACAGGAAGCACAGGTACATGAGGCTCGACGGCTCCAGCAAGATCTCCGCCAGGCGCGACATGGTGGCGGACTTCCAGACGCGCGCCGACATCTTCGTCTTCCTGCTCTCCACGCGCGCCGGCGGCCTGGGAATCAACCTGACGGCGGCAGACACGGTGAGTTTGACGACAACATTCTTCAATATTACTTCTTCCCCTTCATTATGCGTGACGATTTCAGTTAATTTGATCATTTCTTCTCCTCTGATTGCCAAACAATAACAAGCCAAACAACAACAGGAAAAAAAGCCCATCGTTCCTCATTATCCTGCCCTCCTTCTTTCCGTCCCCCACGCACTGTTAACGCCTGAGAAAAAGGGGGTGAAAAAAAACAGAGAGAAAGAGGAATTTAAATTGTCTCTCTAACTGACAATTCGACGGGTGAAGAGAAAACTGTGACAATCGCTTGGAAAAAAGCCTCTAATTCCTTCTAATCATGCAGAAAAATGTTTATTTTGTTATAATTGAATTTATAAATACATTTTCAAGTGGATTTTTAACACGGACAGATTGAAAAATTCATCTTAATATCAATTAACAATTTTTAACACTTGATTTTGCTGATTTTTATTGAAATTTCGAGTGAAATATTGTGATTTAATATGGAAACTGATGAAAATCAATGCAAAAATCAGGTTTCAATTCACTGAATTTTAATTATTGATTGATTTTTAACACGGACAGATTGAAAAATTCATCTTAATATCAATTAACAATTTTTTACACTTGATTTTGATGATTTTTATTGAAATTTTGTGTGAAATATTGCGATTTAATAGACAAAGTGAAGAAAATCAATGCAAAATCAGGTTTCAATTCACTGAATTTTAATTATTCATTGTTTTTTAACACTGACAGATTGAAAAATTCATCTTAATATCAATTAACAATTTTTTACACTTGATTTTGATGATTTTTATTGAAATTTTGTGTGAAATATTGCGATTTAATAGACAAAGTGAAGAAAATCAATGCAAAATCAGGTTTCAATTCACTGAATTTTAATTATTGATTGATTTTTAACACGGACAGATTGAAAAATTCATCTTAATGTCAATTAACAATTTTTAACACTTGATTTTGCTGATTTTTATTGAAATTTCGTGTGAAATATTGTGATTTAATAGACGAATTAATGCAAAAATCAGGTTTCAATTCACTGAATTTTAATTATTCATTGATTTTTAACACGGACAGATTGAAAAATTCATCTTAATGTCAATTAACAATTTTTAACACTTGATTTTGCTGATTTTTATTGAAATTTCGTGTGAAATATTGTGATTTAATAGACGAATTAATGCAAAAATCAGGTTTCAATTCACTGAATTTTAATTATTCATTGATTTTTAACACGGACAGATTGAAAAATTCATCTTAATGTCAATTAACAATTTTTAACACTTGATTTTGCTGATTTTTATTGAAATTTCGTGTGAAATATTGTGATTTAATAGACGAATTAATGCAAAAATCAGGTTTCAATTCACTGAATTTTAATTATTCATTGATTTTTAACACGGACAGATTGAAAAATTCATCTTAATGTCAATTAACAATTTTTAACACTTGATTTTGCTGATTTTTATTGAAATTTCGTGTGAAATATTGTGATTTAATAGACGAATTAATGCAAAAATCAGGTTTCAATTCACTGAATTTTAATTATTCATTGATTTTTAACACGGACAGATTGAAAAATTCATCTTAATGTCAATTAACAATTTTTAACACTTGATTTTGCTGATTTTTATTGAAATTTCGTGTGAAATATTGTGATTTAATAGACGAATTAATGCAAAATGAGGTTTTAATTGACTGAAATTTGATTATTAATTGATTTTCAACATGGAAAATGCATTAACTCACTTTGCTTGCATACTTTTCCACTCACCCGTCGAACAGAGAATTGATCCAACAAAGTCAAGAAGTGGAATTTAATGTGAAATGGTAAACAGATAGTGATCAAATTAGTGGAAAAAAAATCGTCCGTGACATGATAATTTTTTCGCTCACAAAAAATTACCACCGCCCAAAAAAAGGGGGTTGGAAAAGGAAATAATTTCCGCCCAACAGGCGGAATCGAACCGCTTCGACGTGAATCGACTACAAGTTTGAAGCTTGCACTTCAGACCACTGAAGTTCAGTTGGGCGATTGTCGGTGTGTTTGTGTGCGTTCACAGGCGGCGCTTCGGCTTAGAACATCTCGGGTGAAGTATAAGTGCGCGATTAGCGTGAATATTTTACAGCACAAAATGACAAATTTACACGCGCGCGCGTGTCGCAGAATGAATGCTCTTCAGCTGCACTTTATTTATCGACATTCAAATGCAATTGGGCGGATTTCTTATGATCATAAATATCCAATTCAGAGGCTTTTATGGGTTGGCTTTTAGAGGCAATTTTGCCGTGCGAGGGAAAATGATTTGTCGTCCTGTTTAGTCGGGAAGCTTCATGCACTCGAGGATTTCCTAGTCAATTTGTAGTCGATTAGAATTAGTGAAGAAGTGACGGATATTGTAATTGAATGGGAAATTTATTCGTTTGCGTGACTTTTGATGTCTTATTCACAACTTGACGTGATTTGTTGCTTTTATTGTAATATTTTCAGAATATTCTTCTTTTCATTGATTTTTCTATGATATTTTGCCTTCAAAAACAGATTTTTTCATTGAAATATCGATGAAAATTCACTTGTTTGGTTGGAAAATAAGGAATTTAGTGATTTCGGGGGATTGCAAGAAGTCAATTTGGAAATCTTTGACGCAAAATTTGCTTTCTGGTTCCACAATTCAAAATCTCTGCAGCAAAAGATCGCTCTTCAATACCAAATTCTGTACATCTTATTAGAAATTACGGAGCAGGTTTTGTTCCAAAGAAAAATTGAGGAAAATAGATTTTCTTTGCTTTAGTTAAGCATTCGAGCGTTTTTCATGACACATTTTGAGCAGAGAAATTAAAGATTCTTGTGTTGCAAAGCTTTTAGAGGTAAGAAATAAATATTTTCAGGTATTTATTGTTCTCTATGACACTGGAAACTGTGAAAAACTGAAAAAAAAATATCGATTGTGTATCGATGGCATCGTAAAATCGATTGATATATCGAGAAATCGAGTTTTGGTCACGTAATTTGGACGTCTTGCAATCCCTAGAGTGATTTACAGTAGTATTTTACTAGTTTGAGGGTTTAAAAACTAATTATTCTTGTGTGTCTTCTCTCATTGGCTAATTTAGGCTCCGCCCATTTGCAAACTCCGCCCTTTTTCCTCATTTTTGAGTCTTTTTGTGTCTTTCTGGGTAAGAATAATGGATAAATCTCGTGGTTTTCTTCTGAATTTACTCAATTCTTGCCTTGGCGTCAATTTTCAATCGCTTTTCGCGACTCAACAGTGAAATCACAGTGATAATTTCCACACTTAAGCTTATCTTGTTGGCCTTCCAAGCGATGCAACGGGGCTTAATCGGTTGTACTTTCACGTGAAACTGTGTGAATTGGCTTTGCCCACATGCGTGCAAACATTTCCCGAGACTCTGTCAGTGTTTTCTTATCTATTGCATACAATCAATCTTGCGTAATATTTTCGGGATTAGGAGATGTATAAACTGATAAATAGCCTGCATTTGCCACTTGTGCTTCTCTTTTGCCGTGTTTGTCTGTGAAATACCGCGATAATTAATTGTTTGAGGCGCAAATTCAATGGGCACAAGAAGACGTGCGTTGTGGTGAAGGTGAAAGAGAAGAAAGGGAGAGAGAAAGAGGGAGAGAGAGAGAGAGAAAGGAGTTTATTGAATGAATATGTTGTGTGCGCGTTGTATTAAAAGTCTTCATAAAATTATTTGATTTATTCGATGGGATTTTATGGGTGAATTTTCAATATGGATAAATTTCATGTCTTCTTTTTCTTTCTCCTTCTCTAAAAAAACCTTGTGAATTGAGTCTTATATGGCGAAGATATCGGTAAATTTCCGATTCTTCTTCTTGAGGAAGGTTTTTTTTTTTGAATCTTAAATCAATTTGAGAGACTTTTGGTGCGCTTTTATGTGTGTGTTTGTGTGGGAAAATTATCTAATTTACTATTTATTTAAAATTTATTGATTAAGTGGCTTTAGCGGAAGATTTCGCAAAAAGTGTTGAATTCAATGTGGCAAGTTTTGTGCGCAATGCAAGATGAGCAGGATCATAAACAAGTGCTTTTTATTGAGACGACTCACCGTTCGGCTCACTTTCCATCCCTCGTTTTATTAATCTCTTGTGATCAACAAAAGCCGCGCGCGCACTTGTTGAGGAAATTAGTAAAAATACACTCGAACATGTTCTTTGCCCACAAATTCAATGTTGCGCGCGCATTTAGACAAAGGCGGAAAGAAAGGCGCAGAAAAAGCTCTCAAGGGAGATAAATAATAATATTTATCCACATTTCATTTGATACTCTGTGGCTTTTCAAGTGATTGAGTTTAAGGGCAAAAACGTATATCGACGGGTGCTGGGAAAACTGTTAAAAGTCAAAATGGACATTTTTCAGCAGAGCAAGTTTATAATTTACCATCAAAATTGGTGCGAAATTTGCCAAATTTACTTCAAAACGCCCTCAAATCGTCCGTTAAAGTGCAAATATTGCTCAAAATTGCTCGAAAGATGTCAAAATTATTAGAAAATTTGGAAATTTTACATTTCAATATCGATTTTTTTAGTTTTCAGGACGATTTTATCCAAACAAGCTCTAAAACATCAACTTTTCTTACTTTAAAAAAAATTTAAAATTTCAAAAGATATGAAAAATATTTATTCAAGGTCAAAAAAATTAGGATGATTCTGATATTTTCAAGTTTTACTTCAAAAACCTCCAAAACGCCCTCAAATCATCCGTTAAATTGCAAATATTGCTCTGAATTTCTTATTTTGTTAATATTTTAGTTGATTTTATTGGCATTTATTGGGATTTTTGACTAAAATATGGCAAAATTAATGGAAAATCTGAAAATATTACTTTCCAAAGTCGATTTTATCGAGATTATATATAAAGAAATCCACTTTTTATACTTTATTTGAACTTTTCTTTAGTTTTCAAGTGAAAAAATTGAAAAGATATGAGAAATATTCATTCAAAGTCTAAAAAAACATTTTAGGATACTTTTGAAAATCTATAATTATTTTCTAAAAAGACGTTTTATGCATTTTACTGAAATTCTTCAGACTTTTTTCTTAGAAAAATTGTTTCACTTTTCATTCACAAAAACATGACAATTTTTTTCCATTTGTGCTTTTAAGATAAATTTTGCTATTATAAGAACAAATAAAAAGCTTTTCAAATATTCATAAGACGAAAGATAAATCGACATTTTCGTAGTTTTCCATTCACCCGTCGATATTGAGAAAATGTGTGTAAAAGACTCTCAAGACGTTCTCTGTGTGTTAAAAGTACGCAGAAAAAGACAAGTGAGAGAGAGATTCTTGAGGATTTTCAAGTGTTTAGCGCTGTATTTGTTTACCTTTCTCATTAATAAAAGCATGTTTTATTTCTTGCGTCATATAATTGCTCAGCACTGCGCTTCTCCGGTTACATAGAGATACATATAAAATATGTATGAAAAATCATTGCAATTTTATGTTCTTTTCCCATCTTCAATCTCCCTTTTCCATGGCCTTTTTTCTCGTCTGTCGCACGTTTGAACATAAACGATATAACGATGGGCAAAAAACATTAAGAGCAATTAAATCTCCTCAGCGCAATGCTCGAGAATTTCTCCAATTTCAAATCCACACCGGTTAACGATTTGTGGTGTTTTTTTTGCGAAGAGCTGTATAATTAGCATTTTGAGCGAAGGACTAAAAATCCCAGGAATTTACATAAATTCCTCGCTAAGGGTTTTTCTCTGGCGCTTCGCAAATTTGTCCGCGGAAGCAAAGTTGGCAGAAGAAGTGACGATTATCGTTAAGATGAAGAAGTTGAGGCGCTCACAGTGTCCGCGCGATGTGAAAGGATGAGCGGTGAAATATGATGATCGCGGTGATAATGATGAAGATAAGAGGCAATGAAGGCTCAAAGGAAGCTCGATTCTAATGCTAATCGACGAAATTTACTCGTGGGAAAAGCCTTTTGAACAGTATTTTCATCCATTTGGTCAGTAAAAAAGCAAATTATTCTTATTGAATCTTGAAATGCTCCGAAAGAAATGGCAAATTTGCATTTTCACTCCATTTTGCACTGCATAAATCGACGGGTGAATGGAAAACTATGAAAAATCGATTTATCATAGTTTTCGTCTTCGTGTATTTTTGAAAAGCCTTTTATTTGTTCTTTCTGTACAAGAATTTTAAGATTTGTTTCTTATGAGACAATAGAAAAAAATCTTATTTATCTAAAAAGCACAAATGGAAAAAAAATTGTCATGTTTTGCGAATGAAAAGTCGAATTTTCATTGTTTACGCTGAACAATTTTTCCCCAAGAAAAATGTCTCAAAAATTGCAGTCAAATGCATAAAACGTCTTTTTAGAAAATATTTGTAGATTTTCAGAATTATCCTAAAATGTTTTTTGGACTTTAAATGAATATTTCTCATATCTTTTAAATTTTTTCACTTGAAAATATTAAGAAAAAGTTCAATTGAAGTATGAAAAGTTGATTTTTTGTATAAAATCGACTGAAAAACCATTAAAAATCGACTTTGAAAAGTAATATTTTCAGATTTTCTATTAATTTTGCCACATTTTAGTGAAAAATTTCAATAAATACCAATAAAACATTTACAAAATAAAAAATTCAGAGCAATATTTTCACTTTAACGAACGATTTGAAGGCATTTTGAGTATTTTGAAGTAAATTTGGCAAATTTCGCAGCTGTTTTAATGCAAAATTTTGGACTCGTTTTGCTGAAAAATGGCGATTTTGACTTTTTTCAGTTTTCGAGGCACCCGTCGAAATGCTTTGTAATTAATATAAACATACTTTTATTCAAAGAATTGTGAAGGGGTTTTAAATAGCGCCTTCTTCGGCTCTGAGACAAATAATTGTGCCGCGAATTTTCACGTGAAGCTGAAGGTATGAAATTTTCCACCAATCTTCCGTCATTAATAAGTAATGATCATGCCAAGTTTGAAGACATTCGGCCTAATTCTTAATAACTTTATGATACCAAAACTGAGCCAAAGCAGAAAATAATCCGAGATTTTAAATAACGTCGTCTCAGCAATCTTTGATTATTTGTTCGGTACATTTGATTTGGGTTCTTAAAGTGGTTCAAATTAATCTGAGGTGTCTTTAGGATAATTATCCTGGAAATTTTCAATTTTCATCTGAACTTTTTACGTATTCGTTATCAAAATTTGATTAAGTGAATATCAAATTACGGGGCGTGAACAGTACGCGACTTCAAAGGATCGCACGGAGATTTTCGACTGAAGAAGGATCTCTTATTCCAGCAAGGGAGTTTTAAGCGCAATTGACTGCGTAAAAAAGTCATTTTCGACTAATTTTTCAGATGTTTAAGGCGAATTCCGTCATGTTTGCTTCTAAAATCTATTAAGAATCGTTCCTTAAAGTCTCTGTGATCCTTTTTCATATCACGAGAAACAGATTTTATGACTTATTCAGAGAATCTGCGCAATCAAACAGCTTTATCGATAAGAATGGACTAAATATTAAGTGTTCTCCCCAAATTTCTTTAACTGTGCGGCTTCTTAAAGTGGGAAAGAAGCTCCGTATTAATTTCTCTCTTCGCTCATGATGTCATAAAATGCTGCACTTGAGCTCATGGATTAAAATTATGAATATTTTAGTCACTTTATTTATCTGTATCTTCTCTTCGTTTCCATGGTAAAAGATTCCGTGTGTGAGTTTCTGTTGCGTAATGATGCATTTAATGACGGTGGGTTTGGAAGAAGAGGGACGAAGAGAGAGAGTCTATTAGAATGCACATTAAAGACAATTATCGAGTGCTGAAAATAGACAAGTTCGTAAAAAGTGCATTTCTGTGTTTCAAAAAGTGTCTTTATTGTGCTTCTGTTTTCCTCACAAATCGCCCCAATTCTTGATGAAACTTCTGATCCTCTCCTTGGCGGCGCTCAATGATGGGTGATCTTGGTCGCTGATGGACTCAAGATCGCTGCAATGGCTGTGCAGAGGGATGATCGTGGTTGGTGAGTCGGCATTGATGTTCTCTGGAGCGCCAGCGACTCTCCATGGATCCAATTGACCGTGTGTTGAGTAGACATTCTTCACTTGTGGCTTCAAGCCGCCAAACTTCGCATTGTGCTCGCAAACGCTGTGCTCAATGCGAGCCAGTGTGAAGTCACTGCCGAAGAGATGCTGGCAAACTGTTGTGTAGTACTCAAGGGGGAAGTTGCTGAAGGGTTGATTGGGGGAATTGGAGGTTTGGAACCACGCGACTTCGTTGCACAACTGATAAACCCATTGGCGCATGTTGGCGTCATTGTAGGGAGACCATTGGGTGTTTGCCAGTGACTGGAATCCACTCTCGAAGATGCTGGAGCTGCAGGAAGGATTGACATGCATCAGGAAGTTGGCAAATGCCGTCAAAGGATCCTTTTCAGCATCCAAAATCTTGCACATTTCATCAATTCCTTCAGGCGCGTCGTTTTGCACAACATTCGCAATGTCTTCGGTTGTTCTGGCGAAGAAGTACATACGATCCTTCCTATCGTCCGTCAATGGTTCACATGTTGTCAGTTTCTGTGACAAATAAGTCAGATTTCCACTGTCGTACAGCTTTTCCATTTCTTCGTAAGCCTTCTGCAGCTTATCAATGCACTTCTGACCGCCAACTAGCTTGATGGATTCCGCAGCGACTTCGTAATACGCTTGAAAGTCTGTCACGGCCTCAAGAGGTGCACTTGAAGCCCACGCGCCGGCAATCATTTGCGGATACTTGTGACTGAACCACGTGACGACGGATCCGGCATAAGAAGCCCCGACGAGGAAGACTGGGGAATTGAGGGCGTCTGGAATGGTGTGAGTCTTGTTCTGGATGAAGTGCGCCAAATCTGCGAGCGCCTGATCGACTGTCAGGAATCTGAGACTTTCCACGGACAAATCGGGCGTCGGTCGACTGGCGCCGTAGAATCTGTGCTCAGTGTAGAAGAGAAATCCTCGGAATTCCTTCGCCATGTCGTACATGTGACCTTCATTGAGCCGAATCGGTGACACGTCCCATTCGCCGCCCACATAGATAAAGATCGGACCGCCAGATTGGTAGAATTCGCCATTTTGCAAATATCGCATTCGCCATTTTGTGTCGTTCGCAGGATCGAAATGATCCAGAAACTGTTCCATCCAATCTTGCTCTACGAATCGCACTTTCGTCGTTGTTTTCGGCAGAGGTTCTCGGTGGAGCTTCAAGAAGGGCGGATCAGAAGCTCCTCGAGTGAAACCGAAGAACGTCACAAGCAAAAGTGCTGAAACTAAACTACACTTCATGATTAGTTCAACTGAAAGTCTCATCTTCAGCGTCTCTTCTTTTATACTCAACTGCAATTCTTATCAGAGTGCTTGAAGTTGAGTGCATGATTCACTTCCCAGCTGACATCAAAATGTCGAATAATCAAAAGTGAGGTTGGAAAAGCAAAGTTTTCGCTGAATTCTGCTAATATTTCAGCTATTTAGTCACTTGAATCGAAAATGTGTCATTTCCAAGTATTTCATTGCGGGAATGAAACTCAAGCAAACTGAATAATTATAAGGATGAGAAAAAAACCAGAATCAGAAGTCTTTCGGAACAGAAGAAGAGCAAGAAAGACAGAACAACAGATCAAGGGCGACAGAATCAGAAGGAAAACACTTGTAAATGTATTTGAGAGCTTCAGATTTTTTATTGGTAAAATCAATTGTTATCGCATTTGAAACGCCGGTCATAAAAGAAATCGTGAAGATAAGATATCATTAAAATATCATCAGCCACTGTCGCACAAGCGCAGTTGTTCTCAGCTTGCTGGCCAGCATTTCTGGACTGTCGGCGTCGCTGATTGAGTACAAATCTGCGCAATGCGAAGCCATTGGAATGACGACTGTTGGCGCGAAGGAATTGACGTCGGTTTGAACGCCCATCGGCCGCCAAGGATCCAATTGTCCGTGCGTCGAATACACGTTCGTGATGATCGGATTCATGCCGTTATGGTTCAGATTCGTGATGTAAATATTGTAGTTTATCGCGTCAGGATAGAAGGATTCGTCATAGATATCGTGACACCATTGAAGCATAAATTCAACTGGGAAGTTTGAGCCGAAAGGTTGATCGTCAGACCCGGAAGTTTGATACCAGCCGTATTCGTTGCAAGTCTGGAATATCCACTGTCGCATGACCATTGCCGCTCCGGAATTCCAATCAGTGTCACGATAGTAATCCACGAAGTTTTCATAGCTGATTGTCATGCAAGAATCGCCAAGAGAATCGCGCACGTAATCAGCATAACCGTCAATGTCAGTTTCCGCGGCCATCATGATATCGCAGGCGCCTTCAATGTCGCCTGGCCAGTGATATTGCACCAGACCAGCCATGAAGTTGGACAGGGAGTTGAAGAAATACCAGATGTCCAGTTGGTTGTCCGAAACAGTTTGGCACAAACTCATTTTCTGCGATAGAGTCGCAAGATCGCCTTCTTCTAGCAAGCGTTCCATCTCAGCGAACGCGCCGTGAATTCTGTTGTAACACGCGTCGCCACTCACGATTCTCACTGACTCTCCGACAGTTTCGAAGTACTCGACGAAGTCGGTTTTGGCCAACAAAGGCGCACTTGAAGACCAGGCGCCGTTGATCAAGTCGGGATAATATTGCCTGAACCAAGTCACCATCGTGGCTGAATAAGAAGCGCCGACGAGAATCACTCCTGAACTCGAGGCTCCGGGAATTTCTTGCTTCTTCACGCGGATGAAGTGCGCCAAATCCGCCAAGGCTTGATTCACATGGAGATACTGAAGGTTTTCGAAGGATAAATCAGGAGTTGGATGACTTTGGCCGTAAAATCTGTGTTCAGTGTAGAAAAGATATCCGTTCATCTCTCTTCCCATGTCAACCATGTGTCCACTTGTCAGCCATCCAGCAGAAATGCTCCATTCTCCGCCCACGTAGATGAAAATTGGTCCTCCTTCTTGATAAAACTCCGCATTTTCCATGTATCGCATTTGAAACGTGGCATTGTTGTACTCATCGAAGTGATCCAGCGGCTGTTCGATCCATCCAATGTTCACCACTCTAGGATCGAGTTTAGGTTCAGGTGGCGGCGGTTCACGATGCAATCCTTCGAATATCCTGAAAGGATTGCTCTTCACTTCACATATTCCGATTGAGAGCAGAAGAAAGCACAAAATTCCGCTGGTTTTCATCTTCACTAGAATCTGTATTGAACTGACGAATTTTGGTGATCGATTTGGTATTTATACTCACTTTATCTCGCTCTGTTATCAGCCTGAAAGCTCTTAAGTCAGTGAACATGAATTGGGGGAAAACAGAAGATTTATGCGAGCATCATTTATCACTTCCTTTGGGATTATCATCAATGAATTGTAATTTGAGCGATTGATTCTATATTGGTTCTATTTTTAACAGCGATTGTTTCGCTGCTGGAATTTATTGACTTTAGCATTTTTTGGTATCAAGAATTCAGCTGACATTTATAGCAACTTTAACCACTGCCGAACAAGTGCAATTGTTCTCAGTTTGCTCTCCACCAATTCCGGACTGTCAGCTATGCTAATGGAACGCAAGTCGTTAGAGTGTGAAGCCATTGGAATGACGACGGTTGGCGCGAAGGAATTCAAGTCAGTTTGAACGCCCATCGGCCGCCAAGGATCCAATTGTCCGTGCGTCGAATACACATTCGTGATCACAGGATTCAGGCCGTTGTTGTTGAAATTAGTCATGTTTATTTTGGCCTCAATAGTTGATTTGTTGAAGGATTCACCGAAAATATCGTGACACCATTGCAATTTAAATTCAACGGGAAAACTCGAGCCGAAAGGTTGATTTTTGGATCCTGAAGTTTGAAACCAACCGAATTCGTTGCAAGTCTGGAACAGCCATTGACGCTTGAGTCCATAAGATGCATTTGGTATGAATGTCTCATTGCGGTATATCTCAATGGTGGATTTGTAGTCGATTGTTCGGCAAATGTGACCTCCTCTAGTCTGGCGGGCGAAATAAGCGTAGCCATCAATGTCAGTTTCTGGTTTCATAATGAGATCGCAGGCGTCTTCAATGTCTCCGTGATAAGCAATGTGATATTGCACAATGTTGGCCATTAAATCGGCCAAAGTGTTGAAGAAGTACGAAATGTCCAACTGATTGTCCGTCAGTGTTTCGCAGAGGTTGAACTTTTCTGATAGGGTATCGAAATCGCCCACTTCAACTAAGCGTTCCATTTCAGCGAAAGCTTTTTCAATGCGATTGTAGCATTTCTCTCCACCGACGAGCTTTATCGACTCTCCCACGGTTTCGTAGTATTCATTAAAGTCCATTTTAGCCAATAAAGGCGCACTTGAAGACCAGGCGCCGTTGGCTAATTCGGGGTATTTCTGCCTGAACCAAGTCACCATGCTTCCACCATAAGAAGCGCCGACGAGAATCACGCCTGCGGCATCGGGAATTTCCTGCCTCTTCACGCGGATAAAGTGTGCCAAATCCTCAAGCGCCTGATCAACGGTGAGATACTGAAGATTCTCAACTGATAAGTCAGGAGTTGCTGGACTTGTTTCGTAGAATCTGTGCTCAGTGTACATAACACAGCCGTTCAACTCCTTCGCCATGTCGAAAATGTGGCCGCCAAAGAGCCTTGCTAACGTGTTGCTCCATTCTCCGCCCACGAAGATGAAAATCGGTCCTCCTGGCTTGTAAAATCGAAACATTTCGTAGTACGTCATGTTGAATGTTGCATTGTTGCTCTCGTCGAAATGATCCAGCTTCTGCTCAATCGATCCGGGGTAAACCACGGTCACTCTAGGATCGAATTTAGGTTCAGGCAACGGCGGTTCGTGATGAAGTCTTTCCAGGTTACTGAAGGGATTGCTTTTCACTTGAAACACTCCAATTGAGAGCAAAAGAAAGCACAAAATTCCGCAGGTTTTCATCTTCACGAAAATGTTTATTGAACTGATGAATTTTGGGCGACTGATTAGGTATTTATACTGTTCTTATCGCGTTATCAACAGGAAAGCTCTAAAATTGGTGAATAAGAATTCTGAGAAAACCCAAAAATGTATTTGAGCATCTTTTATAGGTTCATTGAGAATTTATCGTCTGTGAATTTCATCGTGATCGCTTGATTCTTTAATTGTATTCGTATTTATTACTTCGTTATCACTTTTTATCAATTTTTTAATCAGTATTTCAGTAAATGTGACTGAAATTGCGCTGAAATCTTGCGAAATTATTTTACAACAAGTGGCGGTGTCCATTTTAATTGACAGAAAAGACGTCAATTCGTCTCTGATATCTTTAATTGCTCATTTATTCTTATCGATCAGCCATTTAAGAGATAATTTGTGCTAAAATATCATCAGCCACTGTCGCACGAGAGAAGCGATTCTCAGTTTGCTGGCCAGCATTTCTGGGCTGTCGTCGTCGCTGATTGAGTACAAATCTGCGCAATGCGAAGCCATTGGAATGACGACTGTTGGCGCGAAGGAATTGACGTCGGTTTGAACGCCCATCGGCCGCCAAGGATCCAATTGTCCGTGCGTCGAATACACGTTCGTGATGATCGGATTCATGCCGTTCTGGTTCAGATTTGTGATGTAAACGTTGTAGTTTATCGCGTCAGGATAGAAGGATTCGCCGAAAATGTCGTGACACCATTGATACCTAAATTCAACAGGGAAGCTCGAACCGAACGGCTGATTGTCTGATCCTGAAGTTTGATACCAGCCGAATTCGTTGCATGTTTGGAATATCCATTGCCGTCTGGTGCCAGCTGATCCAGGGTAAAATGTTGTATCACGATAGTATGAAATGATAAATTCGTAATCAATGTAAATGCAAGCTTCGCCTCCAACTATATTGCGGACGAAATCAGCATAACCGTCAATGTCAGTTTCTGCACCCATGATGATATCGCAGGCGCCTTCAATGTCTCCTGATCTATGATACTGAACATAGTTTGCCATTAAAATGGCAAAACTGCTGAAGAAATACCAGATATCCAGTTGGTTGTTAGGCAAAGTTCCACAAATGCTCATTTTCTCTGAGAGAGTTTCAAAGTCGCCAATTTCCACTAAGCGTTCCATTTCAGCGAAAGCTTTTTCAATGCGATTGTAGCAATTTTCTCCACCAACGAGCTTTATCGACTCTCCCACGGTTTCGTAGTACTCAACGAAGTCGGTTTTGGCCAGTAAAGGCGCACTTGAAGACCAGGCTCCGTTGACTAATTCGGGGTATTTCTGTCTGAACCAAGTCACCATCGTGGCTGAATAAGAAGCGCCGACGAGAATCACTCCTGAACTCGAGGCTCCGGGAATTTCCTGCTTCTTCACGCGGATGAAGTGCGCCAAATCCGCCAAGGCTTGATTCACATGCAAATACTGAAGATTCTCTAGTGATAAGTCATAAGTTGCTTGGCTATAACCATAGAATCGATGTTCAGTGTAGAAGAGATATCCGTTCAACTCCTTCGCCATGTCGTACATGTGACCACCAACTAACCACACAGGAGAAGCAGTGTATTCTCTGCCCACGAAGATGAAAATCGGTCCTCCTGGTTTGTAGTATTCATCATTTTGCAAATAGAACATTTCGAATGTTGCGTTATTGTTCTCATCGAAATGATCCAACTTCTGCTCAATCCATCCATAGTTCACCACTCTAGGATCTTGTTTAGGTTCAGGTGGTGGCGGTTCACGGTGCAATTCCTCCAATATTATATGTCTTTTACTTTTCACTTCACATATTCCGATTGAGAGCGCAAGAAAGCACAAAATTCTACTAGAAATCTTCATTGTTCCGAATATTTACACCAACTGACGAATATTGGTTGATCGATTTGGTATTTATACTCTTCCTATCGCGTTATCAATGAGAAAGGTTTTGAATTTGTGTATTAAAAAATTCTGGGAAAGCTCAGAAGATTTATGTGAGCATCATTTATCGCTTCCTCAGGGATTATCATTAATTGATTGATCTTACAATTGGTTGTATCTATAACTGATTGCTTTGCTATCGTTGTTATCACGATTTTGTTATCAATATTTCAGTGGACTTGACTGAAATCGTGATGAATTCTTATACTATTATTTTATAATCAAGTTCAGTGTCTTCTACTTCTTCATTCATTGACGAAAAAGACGTTGTTTTCTTTTATCTACCTTTTATTACTCATTTATTCTTATCGATCGACTATTCAGTTGACAAATTGAGTTAAAATATCATCAGCCACTGTCGCACGAGAGAAGCGATTCTCAGTTTGCTGGCCAGCATTTCTGGGCTGTCGTCGTCGCTGATTGAGTACAAATCTGCGCAATGCGAAGCCATTGGAATGACGACTGTTGGCGCGAAGGAATTGACGTCGGTTTGAACGCCCATCGGCCGCCAAGGATCCAATTGTCCGTGCGTCGAATACACGTTCGTGATGATCGGATTCAGTCCGTTGTTGTTCTGGTTTGTAACGTTGATATTCTGATGCACAGCATCGGGATTGAAGGATTCGTCATAGATATCGTGACACCATTGAAGCATAAATTCAACTGGGAAGCTTGATCCAAATGGTTGATTGTCAGATCCTGAGGTTTGATACCAGCCGAATTCGTTGCAAGTCTGGAACAGCCATTGTCGCATATATTCAGGTCCGCCGGTCCACGAAGTCTCGCTGTAGAATTGAACGAAGAGGTCGAAGTTCACATTGATGCAAGAGCCCAACAAATAGAAGCTCACGAAATCAGCATAACCGTCAATGTCAGTTTCCCCGGCCATAATAATATCGCAGGCGCCTTCAATGTATCCTGGCCAGTTGTCCTGAACCACCCAAGACATGATGTTCGTGAGGGTGTTGAAGAAGTACCAAATATCCAGTTGGTTGTTGGGCAAAGTGTTGCACAAGTTCAATGTCTGTGAGAGAGTTTCAAAGTCTCCCACTTCAACTAATCGTTCCATCTCCGCGAAGGCGCCGTAAATTCTGTTGTAACACGCTTCGCCACCCACTAATCTCAGCGATTGGCCCACAGTTTCGATGTATTCGTAGAAGTCTGTCTTTGCCAGAAGAGGTCCGCTTGACGACCACGCGCCGTTGACTAATTCCGGATATCTTTGTCTCATCCAAGTCGCGATTGTGCCTGGATAAGATCCACCAACGAGAATTACTCCTGAACTCGAGGCTCCGGGAATTTCCTGCTTCTTCACGCGGATAAAGTGCGCCATGTCCTCCAGAGCCTGATCGACGGTGAGATACTGAAGATTCTCGAAGGATAAATCGGGAGTTGGGCGAGTTTCGCCGTAGAATCTGTGCTCAGTGTAGAAAATATATCCGTTCAACTCCCTCGCCATGTCGAACATGTGGCCGCCAAGGAGCCATCCTTCCTGAATAGTGTATTCTCCGCCGACGAAGATAAAAATCGGTCCTCCTTCTTGATAAAACTCCGCATTCTCCATGTATCGCATTTGAAACGTAACAGTGTTGGAGTCATCGAAGTGATCCAGTTTCTGCTCAATCCATCTTGTGTTCACCACTTTAGTATCAAGTTTAGGTTCAGGCAACGGCGGTTCGTGATGTAGTCTTTCAAAGATACTGAAAGGATTGCTTTTCACTTGAAACACTCCAATTGAGAGCAGAAGAAAACACAAAATTCCGCTGGTTTTCATCTTCACTAGAATCTGTATTGAACTGACGAATTTTGGTGATCGATCTGGTATTTATACTCACTTTATCTCGCTCTGTTATCAGCCTGAAGGCTCTTACGTCTTTGGACGTGAATTGTGGAAAAAGCCGAGAGATTATCATCATTTTCTATTTATTCATATCAATTCATAATTAACACCTTCTTAGTGAATTAGAAGATCTTTGGCAGCGTAGAATTGATGTCCAGCCATTGTTTGACGAGTGTCGTTGTTCTCTTTTTGGTCTCCAACATCTCAGTGCTGTCGTCCTTGCTGACGGAGTGCAAATCTGCGCAATGCGAAGCCAATGGAATGACGAATGCTGGAGATTCTGCATTGACGTCGGTTTGAACGCCCATTCTTTTCCAAGGATCCAAATGTCCGTGCGTCGAATACACGTTCGTTATGTTGGGTTTCATGCCGTTGTGATGGAGATTCGTCGTGTTAACGTTGTTGTCAATGGTTTCTTTGGTGAAGGATTCGCTGAAAATACTCTGGCACGCTTGATAACTGAGTTCCACAGGGAAATTTGAGCCGAAAGGTTGATTTGCGGATCCTGAAGTTTGATACCAGCCAAATTCGTTGCAAGTCTGGAAAAGCCACTGACGATTGCCTTCTCCAACTTCAGAATCCCATGAAGTGTTACGATAGCGCTCAACAAAGGTATTGAAGTTTGTAGTCAAGCATCCATTCATCACAGATTTGACATACTTGGCAAAGCCATCGATGTCATTCTCGTCGTCCATGATAATTTCGCAAGTTCTCTCAATGGTTCCTTCTTTGTGATATTGAACTGTTCCGGCTAATGAACCGGAAAGGCTCTTGAAGAGATACCAAAGGTCGAGTTGATTTCTCTGGTTTTTGTTGCACAAGTTCAATTTTTCTGAGAGAGTTTCAAAGTCGCCAATTTCCACTAAGCGTTCCATTTCGGCGAAAGCTTTTTCAATGCGATTGTAGCAATTTTCTCCACCGACGAATTTTATCGACTCTCCCACGGTTTCGTAGTACTCGACGAAGTCAGTTTTGGCCAACAAAGGCGCGCTTGAAGACCAGGCGCCGTTGGCTAATTCGGGGTATTTCTGTCTGAACCAAGTCACCATCGTGGCTGAATAAGAAGCGCCGACGAGAATCACTCCTGAACTCGAGGCTCCGGGAATTTCCTGCTTCTTCACGCGGATGAAGTGCGCCAGATCCGCCAAGGCTTGATTCACGTTGAGATATTGAAGATTCTCGAATGATAAATCAGAAGTTGGATGACTTTGACCGTAAAATCTGTGTTCAGTGTAGAAAAGATAGCCGTTCAACTCCTTCGCCATGTCGTACATGTGACCGCCGCTGACCCAGCCTGGAGAAATGCTCCATTCTCCGCCCACGAAGATGAAAATTGGTCCTCCTGGCTTGTAGAATTGATTGTTGGCCAAGAATCTCATCTTATACGTGGCATTGTTGCTGTCGTTGAAATGGTCCAGTTTCTGCTCAATCCATCCTTCAATGACACTCTTTCTACTAGTTTGAGGCGCTGGTGGCGGAGGTTCACGACGAAGGGAGGTGAAATCAGTCCAAGAATCACACAGAACTTCACTTAGTCCAAGAAGAAGTGGAAGAAAGGGTAAAATTTGTCGTAAGAACTGCATTTTGATCAATTTTAGCACTTTGAATGATTCTTAATTGACAAGTGCGCCGTTTTATATGTGCTTCTATGGAATTTCTTGTCAAGTGTCGGGATTATAAAGAGGTCTGTTGTCATTTTGAGTGTTTCTCACGTTTCGCATTTTAAAATTTCTGTGTGCAGTGAAAAAACAGACACCTGCTGAGCCACTCGATTGCTCAATCACTGGATGCCAATGTCCGGGATTCACGCAGAGCTTATCACTCGCGGAAATATTTTGTGTTGAACGCCAACAATTACGCCTTCATGGCGTCATTGACGCCCCAAAACATTCGTGTTACTAGTTGATATTCCAACCCAGGTCAGTTTTACGATAACACTGAACTCTCGAGGGCTTCAAGTGCGTGCAAAATGTTTCACAAATTGACACCGCGTGGCGACATTAAAGTGGCCAAGAAGTGGACGACAAGTGATGAATCAGCATTTGATGATTCTTAGAAGTACTTTATTCTACGGCGATTAATCTTCACATGACGATCTTTATGGGAATAATCTTAGCCTAATTTGGCGCTGAGCTTCTGCGTGGTAATAAGGCGTCATTTCGGGAAAGGGCGTTGTTGTGGTTGGCGGAAGTTCAGTCGTGTTCACAGGCGGTCCGGGATATTCTGTTGTTGTTGTGTTGTAAGGTCCATCAGTTGTTGGAGGTCCTTCAGTCACTTCTTCGTCCGCCCACAACCAGAGAAGAATCAGAGCACGAACACGTTCCTGAACGGCTCTCAATCCTTCGTACTGCGTGAATTGCATGGAGATGAAGTCACTGGCGTAGCCAAAGTAGGGAATAATGTCAGCTGGTGAGTAATCATTGAGATCCTCGAGGATTGAGATGGACTTTCTCGAGTCTAGGCCGCCGTTTGTGAAGTAAACTCTCGTGACGTTGGGAGATAATCCACCGAATTGCTCATTTGTGTTGTCAATTCCTCTCGAAAGCTCCTCATCGGAAATTCTGCAATACAATAGAGATAAATGAATCATCCACTCAATGACTAACTTTTGGGTAACTTACGTCGTGTTGAGGAGGAATCTGCACTGATCGAAGAAGAAGTGATAAGGAAAACGGTCACCGAAAGGATGTCCTGTTGCATTTGATGATGTAAACCAGCCGAATTCATTGCAAACTTGATAAATTTGCTGACGTCCGCCGACAGCGTTTCCAAATGAGTCCCAATCGATGTCCATGAAGATGCCAATGATTCCTTCGACACTGCCGGGAAGGCAGCCTTGTCCTTGGTATATTGCGTAGTAAATCCAATCGGCTAAGCCCATCAAATCGTCTTCGCCGCGCTCCAAATATCCGCAAAAGCTTGTGATTGCAGGACCGCTGAAGATAAAGAATAAACAGCAAGATAAGCTTCTAATTGCTACTTAAGTGAACGGAGGAGATTAGATACAAAACTTACTGAGCAAGGCTAACATATTCGCCAATGGAGGTGGCAAGAGTGTAGAAGAAGATTCCAATGTTGAGTTCATCCAACCAGTCGTCTTCACTTGGGCAGAGTTTGAAGACTTCCACGAGTTTCTCGATGTTCTGATCTAGATAAACTTGCTCGAGCATATTGAAAGCATTCGCCATGCGATCGTAGCAAAGCTGTCCTCCGTAGACTCTCACTGTTGTCGCGGTGTTTGTGTGGAATTCGCCGAAGTTAATGAGTGCTTTAAGATGAGCACTTGATGCCCAAGCTCCTTGAATCAATTCCGGGTATCTTTGTCTCATCCAAGTGGCCAAAGCTCCTCCATGACCAACTCCGGCAGCGATGACTTTAACATTCTCAAGATCAGGAGAGGAAGACTTCAAGAAGCGCACAAGAGTTGCAATGTCCTCAAGAGCTTGGTTCGTGTTGAGCCAAGCCATGTTTTCTGTTGAAAGATCCGGAACTGGACGACTCTCGCCGTAATATCTGTGTTCTGTGCCAACAATAAGAGCTCCAACTTCTTCAGCAATGTCTCTGAAGTGACTCTGATTGAGGCGACCGAATGTGTTGTAGAAGGTTTTGTCGCCGATGTAGAGGAAAATCGGTCCTCCGGGTTCGTAGAAGGATTCGTCGACGAAGTAGAAGTTTTCCCAAGTCGCCGTGTTGTTGTCGTCGAAGTGATCGAGCCATTGTGTGATGTTTCTGGTCTCGATTTCACAAGAAACACTCGCGATCGAGATCCCGATTAGCAGGAAGACTTTCAGTAGGTTTTTCGCCATTTTTACTTGAGGAAATTGACTTGACTACTGAGCAGTTGCTGTTTTCTTTTCGCTTTTATAGGCGAATTATTATCTTAAACAGTCAGTGATTATTGACGGTGTCTTAAAGAATTGCCCAATTCAGCATTATCAGCCAATAAATTGAGGATTTACGATCCGCGGCTGTCTTTCTGTGTCATGAGGCGCGGCAGATTGGCATCTGGTGTGATGTCTCACGTGTGCCTCAGTTGATCTCTTTCATATGATGCCATCATATGAGAGTCACACGAAGCCTGACCTACCGCATGGTTAGGCGATAACACTATAGTGTGATGGACTTTGTGTTGACTGAGATGGAATTAGTTCTTCCTGTCCAACAGAAGTGGTTGCTGATTGATTGCGCGACATAAATTGGCAGGTTTATGCTGCTGTAGTACAATCTTAATCATGCGTAGTACTTGTTTCTTAGCGTAAAACCGTAAGTTTGAACTTTGATCTGTATCTGAGTAATAGGAAACATTGCGTTATTGCGCAATTCTTGTCTGCTTTAGAGTGAAAGCAGGATATAATGCATCAAAATCAACTTATTTATTGACATTTCTAGACTTTTTTTGCTCTGTTCTTATTCAGAACACCGGATGCAACAAATCATTTAATCTAGGTTAGACTCTCACTTCAATGTCGCTTTATCTGCGAGTTGAAGATAGAAATCTGGCCTCTCTTCCGTTCCATTAAGATGTGTTGAAGAAATGCACGTGATTCCTTTCCTCACTGAAGCTTTTGATTCCCAACCCAGGTCAGTGATGTGATACGACAGAAATCATGTGTTAGGTGTGCTGAATTTTCCATTCTCGATCCAAATACCAAGTTTTCTATCATAATGCATTAAACGAGACATTAAAAAAGGACTGAAGATCAAGATTAGCAAGTTTTTTATTCGCCAAGTACGCAATTACTTAGGTAGCGGGCTCTAACATTTCTTTGAGGATCACAGCTTTCTCCATTAAAGAAGATCTTCGAAACAGGTTTGTTTTTACGATGATGGATTGTCAGTTTGTCGACCAACCATAAGTGGTTCTAAAGCTTACCTTTTGTATATGAGAACAGACAGTGGAAGACAATTCCAGTGAAGCGTATGTTTCAGTTAGAACATTCAACAGCAACCATTTGAACCGCTCCTTTTGCACTTTGCAGGAATTGGAACAGCTAGAATTAGTCATTATTTAATATTTATTCTAAGATGATTCGTCTTGATACATAAATCTTTAAGGAAAGACACCTAATCTAATTTGTCGTTGTCCTTCAGCATGGTAATAAGGCGTCATTTCAGGAAACGGCGTTGTTGTCGTTGGCGGAAGTTCAGTCGTGTTCACTGGCGGTCCGGGATATTCTGTAGTCGTAACTACTGGCGGTCCAGTGTATTCGGTTGTTGTTGTGTTGTTAGGTGCTTCTGTTGTCGGTGGTTGCGTTGGTATTTCTTCATCTGCCCACAACCAGAGAAGAATGAGGAATCGCGCGCGCTCCTGAACAGCTCTCAATCCGTCGTATTCGGTAAATTCCATGGAAGCGAAGTCTCTTCCGAAGCCAAAGTAGGGAATAATGTTAGCTGGTGAATAAGGATTGAGATCCTGCAGGACAGAGAGTGATCTGTCTGAGTCTAGACCGCCGTTTGTGAAGTAAACTCTCGTTACATTTGGACTCAATCCACCGAACTGAGCGTTAGTATTGTCAACATTGCTCTGGATGTCTTCATGTGAGAGTCTGAAATTATTGAAAATACTTGTATAATTCTGAGAAAATGAGAGAATTTGTAAAATCTCACGTCTCATTGAGGAAAACACTGCACTGATCTACGAAGAGTTGGTCGGGAAAGCGATTTCCGAAAGGATGTCCAGAAGCATTTGATGATCTAAACACGCCGAACTCATTGCAAGATTGCCAAACTTGTTGACGTCCTCCGACGATGTTTCCGTCTGCGTTCCAATCTGTGTACAGATAGATGTATAAGAATTCTTGGACGGTTGCTGGGAAGCAGCCTTGTCCTTGAAACACTCTGCTGTAGATCCAATCGGCCAGGCCATACAAGTGATCTTGACCGCGTTCCAAATATCCACAGAAATCTGTGATCGCCGGAGCGCTGCAAGGAAAGTCAGTTAGAAGGTGCAAAAGTTGATTGGATCACAGAAAACTCACTGGAAAAGAGTCACAGCTTGTCCAATGGCGGTGGAAAGTGTGCCGAAGAAGAGTCCAATGTTGAGTTCGTCTTCCAAATCTTCAGCAGTTGGGCAGAGATGGAACATTTCTATCAGCTTCTCAATGTTTCTGTCTGCATAAACCTGATCTAGCATGGCAAAAGCATTCGCCATGCGATCGTAGCAAAGCTGTCCACCGTAGATTCTCACTGTTGTCGCGGTGTTTGCATGGAATTCGCCAAAATTGAGAATAGCGTTGAGTTTAGCACTTGATGCCCAAGCTCCTTGAATCAATTCCGGGTATCTTTGTCTCATCCAAGTGGCCAAAGCTCCTCCGTGACCAACTCCGGCTGCGATGACTTTGGCGTTCTCAAGATCAGGAGAAGAAGACTTCAGGAAGCGCACGAGAGTTGCAACGTCTTCCAGGGCTTGAGATGAAGTTAGATAGACTAGATTTTCGATGGAAAGATCAGGAACTGGATGATTGTCGCCGTAATATCTATGCTGAGTGCCAACGAGAAGAGCTGAAGCCTCTTCAGCGATGTCTCTGAAGTGACTTTGGTTCAAGCGATAGAAAGTATCGTAGAACACCATATCGCCGATGTAGAGGAAAATCGGTCCTCCGGGTTCGTAGAAGGATTCGTCGATGAAGTAGAAGTTTTCCCAAGTCGCTGTGTTGTTGTCGTCGAAGTGATCGAGCCATTGTGTGATGTTTCTGGTCTCGATTTCACAAGAAACACTCGCGATCGAGATTCCGATTAGCAGGAAGACTTTCAGCAGGTTTTTCGCCATTTTTACTTGAGGAAATTGACTTGACTACTGAGTAATTACTCGGGTTTTGGTGCTTTTATAGCCAAATTGTTATCTTAAACCGGGTAGTGATTACTGACTGTGTCTCAAAGAATTGCCCAATTCGCCCTTATCAACCAATAAACATGTTCGCAATCGCCCACGAGCGCTGTTTTACGATGTGCGGCGCGCTTTTGTCATATGAGTCGCTGCTGAAGATTATCATCTCGCATATCGCAGTTGATCTTCTTCTCAATGACGATGAGCCATCGAGGGAGAGAGTGAGAGAGAGAGAGAGTGAGTTGGAAACTGACCTACCGCATTGCCATTTGATAGATTGGAATGCGATGGAGTTGATGAGTGTTGGCTCTCTATTGAGACATTGTCGTGACCACACGAAGACGTCTGGACGCGCGTGGTGAGCGAACGTGTCGCGGGAGATTTAATTAGCGCCCCATTGATTCCACAAAATACCCATTTGTAATTATGTGCAGTCATTCAGTCAGTCGATTGTCTGGCATACAAATCACTTCGTTTTTCTCCTAATAAAAATATATATATATTGGAAACAAATAAAGGAAGGAAAAGCGGAGTTCAATTTCGTGATAAATTGTGGAATTACATGATGATGATGACTTTGTGCTGTTGCCATCAATTGATGGGGACAATTTATTCTGAGTGGGAAATTGAGGTGAAATTCAGTGGATCGATGTTTGGGGTTGAATATTTCCCTGTTGGGATTTCTATTCTTGGATTTTGTGTATTTGTCAATGGATATGAAAGTTTAATCGATTTCAGTTCATTGCACAGACATGACAGTTATATTTTATTCCCATGGCTTTTCATAGACTTTTCCACTATATGTGGAGCAATTTCCTCGCAACTTTTTTTTCTGTGGGTTATTTTCCGCCATGGAAATGCTATATTTTCCTGGTTTTATGTGTTGGCATGAAAATCGAAAATTCACGACATTTTCACTGTGTGCATTTTCTGCTGATAGTCAATAAATTCGCATGGCAAATCCTGTGGAGAATTATTACTCTTATTGTTACTTCACAAATGGAGGAATTAATCTTGATTCTGAAAAGGTGTGTTTTCGAACCCTCAGAGAGTGAGAGAGAGAGAAGGAAATATTTCAGGGAGTTGTAAAGAAAATTCTTCGTCTATTGAATTTGCATGTCCAGAATGTCTTTGAAAATTCCTCATTCCCTTCTCTTCTCTCGATGGCCTCCGTCTTAATGACAATGGCATCTTATAAACATCTTTGAAGTCCCACAGCAAATAATTCAACTCATGCTGGAATTTCTGTCAAGCCACAAATATTTTTGGAGGATTTTTCCTCTCTTTCTGCGCGCTCTGTTGTCTTTGAAAGAAGGGCCAGAAAGAATGTTTCTCTCTCACTTGTCGGTGTTATTTTTATAGAATTTTTAACACTGAAAAGAGTTAGATAAGGCGTCTATTTTTTCCCCTCCCTGGAAAAAGGAGGGTTGATTTTTGTATTTCATTGGACATTTTTCAGTCTTTCTTTGAAAATGACACATCAAAAGACATCCGCGCTCAATGAAGCGCTACTGAAATTTCTTCTAATGAACATTAATGATTTTATTATACAGAAATTAAAGTGAGAGAGAATGAGAGGAAATTGGACCTTCTTCTGACCCGCGTGCGCGTAGAGAAAATGACGGCGAAATGTATTTGAATTTGAACCAGAGCAATTAAGAAAGGGAGCAAAGAGAATTTCTAGGCTTTCTCGTTATTTCTTAGAAGCAGATGTAGAATGTTTAACATTTTTTTCCGGTGGCTCTGCTTGTCGAAAATTCGATCCTTTTGCTGCGCCCCAGAATCGAAGTGACAACAATGCGGCGACCACCTTCGCCCGGCGTCATTGTGCGGTAAAACAATCACAGGTCACAGATTGTGCCACGGGTTTGTAATGAGGAGGAGGATGGCTGCAAACCACAAGGAGGCCGCGAACAAAAAGCCACCGGAAATGTGTCTCTTCTCGCTGCGCATTGTGCAATGGGCCAAAGGAACCATCCGACATATCCTGTTGGTTTCTTCTACTGTTTCCGAAGAGTTGGGAAAAAAGCCATGAGAGTGTCTCAAGGCGATTCGGAGATATGCAGGAGGATTGTTCTGGAAGGAGAAGAAATTGAGATGAAATTCTTATTTATCGATTCGAAATGCGGTAATTTATCGTGATACTTGAAAGAAAACTCCTTTAATTTTGCTTTTAATTCATTTTCTTACTGAAATCTCATCAAATATCTCTTACAATAAGTTATTTTAACTGGTATTTCTTTGGATAAAAAGTCTTCTTATGCACTAGATTGTGAGGTTGTTTTAAAGAATCCGCAAATATCTTGCAAAAATGGTTCAATCTGCAATTGTGACTCGTATTTTCAAGCATAAACATGAAAGATATTTGCAGTAAATTCTTTTTATCCTGGATTTATTAAATATTTACTTGAATTTTAAAAACTTAGGCAAATTTCACCATTTTTTCTCTTACACTTTGTGGAATCACTTAAAACTCTAAAACATTGTTTTAGACAGAATATCAAAGGCTATTTTTCCTTTCTCATTTCGAATATAAAACTTTACATGTTTGAAGTTGAATATTTTTCTGTGTGACTCTGAATTGCTCCAACATTACAGAAACCTAAAGTTGTGAATTGCTTGATGTTCTTAATTAGTTTGTCTCTAAATCGATTTTTTTATTCTTCAGACACAAAAAAAAACATTTTTAGATATCTTTAGAGAGATAATTTAAGGATAATCTAAAAAATATCGTTTGTTTTACTTAGAAAAGTCTAGAAAATTCGTTTCTTGCAGCTTTTTGCTCTGCAAAATCAGACAATGACCGTTTTTGGACAGCTTTCCTTGCGTAATACGCAATTTTTTATTGGATTTGTGCAGAATGTTACCTGCAGACGAGAAAGCATAAAGCATGAGAATCCTAGATTGTCTTGACCAGGTCTCCTTGAAATACCTGCAATGAGAAGGGAAATATTAGCACATCCGGTTCGTCGGAAGTGCTTCCCTTTCTCTCCGGACTCCGCGAATCCGCTGCCAGCAACTCCAAGAAAAACGCAAGCCTTGGACACTTCACTCCTTCACCCTTTATTGTCCTTTTTTTCCTTGAACTTCCTTCCTGTCCTTACTCCTTGCCTCCTACTCTTTCACTTCCTTCTCCTTTTCACTTCCTATCACTCCTTGAACTTCCTTAAATCCACTTTTCCTCCTTGGCCAATAATGGCGACTTTCACAAACTTTGATTGCTCCTCTTCTTCTTCTTCTTCCACCTCTCCATTATTGCAGTTTTATCTTGCAGTTGGCAACAATGGAGCTCGCTTTTAACAACTCTTAATTTAGAAGAGAAATTCTAAGATAAGAATTCCGGACAGGATTCTAAGTAGATTCTTACATATTTGCGTATTTTTTCAATTGTTTGTGAAAAATAAATGTGCAAAATGTGTGATAAAAACAGATTTCTCGATGAGAAAACACAAAACATCACTTGTGTCGCTCCAAAATACCTTGAACGAAGCGTATTTGGAAAACCCTTTGAGTGTATCCGGCATCAAATGCAGCGTCCTTTCGTCTAGAATGACATTCTATTGAATTGATTTCTTTTCATGCCTTCTTTCTCCATTTGTTTGGCTTTTTTCAACAGTGCCGAGAAGAAGAAATAAAAAAAAAACCCAATAACGATGAATTACAGATGGAATTGGTATTTAATAGTTGTCGATCTGAATTCTGTCTTCAATTCCCACTCAATGGAGACATTTTCGATTAAATTGCAATGTGATACGCTTTCGGGCGGGGTGATTAATGTGCAGTTTATCCTGTGCAATCCTGGAGTTGATGGCGTCTGAGACGGAAGCGGAGGATAAAATACAAATGTTTGCGCACGGAATTGGTGAATTTAATTAAATTAAATTGAGAGTGCCAATTTTCCTCCGGGCGCTCTTGACATAATGTCAAATGTTTGGGGGGTGTGAATTTGGGGGGTGGATTTTGTTTATTCTGCGCCTGAAATTCACAATGTGCCGAGAGAGAGTGAAATGCATTCAATTCAATTAATCAAGTCCAATTGGATTTATGCAAATATTTCGCCTGGCAAACATTATTTGGGATTTCGACTGGGATTTCGACGGCGCTTTGGATTTTCGAAGGGGGAAATGCCGAGGGCAATTAAATTGGAAATTGTGCTCAGACTGATGATGGTGTGTGTGTTTTTTTTTCATTTGCAGGTGATCTTTTACGATTCCGACTGGAATCCCACGGTGGATCAGCAAGCGATGGATCGCGCCCATCGCTTGGGTCAGACGAAGCAAGTCACGGTGTATCGACTCATTTGCAAAGGCACGATTGAGGAGAGGATCTTGCAGAGGGCGAGAGAGAAGAGTGAGGTGAGTGGACAACTATAATTTCTGCGCATAGGACGCGATATAATGTGAAGAGAGTGTTTTAGAGACGTTTGGGCAGGTGTTGGAAGGCAATTTTGTGGTCTGCGCAACTTTGCCAAGACCCTCCAAAGTTCTGCTAATGTGGTCACCATTAGATTTCTTCGGTGGGGTTTTTCTTTTTCTTTTTAGAGCTGAGGCTTCTAGTTCCACCTCTATTTGTAATCACTCCAAACCTCAACTTTCCCAAAATTGACTAAAAATTAGGCAGAATAGAATATTAAAGAAGAGGTTTGACGAATCTGAGGGGGTCACTTTTTTTTCGTCCGTAGTATTTCTGGTTAGTATTTTTGGTGCTTAAACGGTTAGAGATATCAAGATGCAGTTTTCACCAAAGGTCAAAAGTTGCTGAGTCGCTTGAGTTTGGTGTTGTCCAATCCAGCCCCCCACCCTTCCGTCCGCCATTTTGAACACCCCTAAAGCACTCTTTCTTCATCACCTCAGCTACTATGTCATGGATCAAAGGCGGCCGTGGTGCAGTCGGTAGAGAGCCAGACTGAGGACATCACGGTCGTGTGTTCGATCCCCATCACTTGCAAATGATCGAACACAACAGATGCGAAAAATATTAGGCCCTTCAATGGCAAATATAAAATTCCAGCCCAATTAAGGTTGCTGTTAAATGTTCCAACTGAAGTAGAAACTTCTGTGGAAGTGTATTTCGCATCTGTCCTTTTTTATAGATGGGCACACTACCAGACTGGTGTCGCTTGTAAATAGCGATATCGTCTGCAAACACGCCCAAGGCCAAGCTCTGCTAGTCTGTGAATTTGACTGGCTCACTTGAAAAGCCTTGTCCTCTGAGTGGGAAAAAATCAGAGGATAACCGGGGGAGAGGGACGACATAAATAAAAATAAGATATCAATGAAAGTCACAGGCCAAAGCTGTACCGACTGAAAGGTAACTGGATGACTGGTTAGCGTCTTGGCCCTTAAATGGGAAAATTTTCCTGGGGATGCATAAAGGGCCCGTCAGATGGCCTGGATGCCGTGGAGCAAGATTTCTTGTACCACCCCCATTTCTAATCTCTTCTAATCTATGTCATGGATCGGGCCCAAATTCTGGTATGCTATAGCTGGCCTCAAGACTTTTCCAACGAACCGCCACTTCAGGATCTTGGTCCTACCAGACTCTAGATATTAGGGATCAAAAGTTTGAAAATTAAAATTGTCCTAACTCCGCTCATAATCATCCGATTTGAATAACTATAGGTTCATTGGAAAGATCTCGTAAAATGTCCTCTCCCACTAGAACATCATAACTTGGTAGAACCACCGATAGGGGCGCTAGAGTAAAAAAGGTTTTCGTGATTTTGAAATCAAATAACTCCATAGCAAGACTATGCATTTTCTTTAAATTTCAGTATGTTGTAGCTGAGGTCGAGACCTTTCCAATGAATCGTTACTTATGAGAATTGAAATTATAGGAGGGGTGATATGGGGGGTCAAAGTTTACATCTCTATCGGCCCATATCTTCGCTGTTTACCAACCAATTTTGATCATCTCTTCGCCAAAAGACGTGTCTCGGACGGTCTTTAGTAGGTCACAGCTACTATTAGTCTGTGACGTCACCAGTGACACCGCCATATTGATTTAACTTTGAACTCCTGAATCTCAGCAATTTTAGTATTTTGTAGTCTAGGTTAAAACGTTCCAAAACAGGGTTTAACTCTCCAAATGCAATTTTACCTCAAATCGAGTTTTCCACAAATTCAGTTCGTCTTCGTGAGCTGAGCAACATGTTGGGCTAACTTTTGTTTAATTAAGGCAATTTTAGGGTGGATTTGGATGGGTTTTTTTTATTTGTCTACGGACAAATATTACTCTGTAAACAAATAACCACAATTATTGGGTTGTGAAACACGTAATTTTTCGCTAAAATTCCCCAGAAGAATCGATCGTTTTTCGTGAAAGGAAAGCCGCACAAAAGATTGAGAGATCCTATTTTGAGATCTATTCATTTTAGCTGCGGTTGTACGTGATTTTCGATAGTGTTCTCAGGCGGTGGATGATCAATGGGAGGGCAAAAAGGGAGCCTCAACAGCTGACAAAGACAAGGCTTGACAAAATATCTTTTTCTTCTCGAAGGCAAACAACACGCACACCTTTTGCGCCTTGATCTTGTGGTCAAAGGCACGCGTCTTTTGTTTGTGTTTTTCGTGGATGACACAGTGAAAATGACAGAAATTAATATGAAGAGCCTTCAATTTCAATTCCGCGTGTTTGGATCATTTATATTTCTTTCACAACTCATTGTGGGAGGGCAAAATATTAAATTCTGTTCAAGTGGCAATTAATTTTTTTTTTCTTCTGCTTCTCCTCCTAATTTCATGAAAAATCTCAATGTTACGCTATCTCATTACAAAAATCTTCTCTCTCTCTTCGAAACTCTTCGCGTTGAACACTTTTTTTTTCCTTCTTCTTCTTCTGTGAGATTCAATTGAGAAGCGAGTGAGTGAAAGAAATCACATGAAAAGATCCTATTGTTCTTCCATAGTTTAAGGGTTTAATAATGTTAAAGAGAGAGAGAGAGAGAGAGAAATTAATTGAAAAAAAGAGCAGCAGTAGGAAAAAAAATTAGTGAATGAATTTTTGGTGGAGTGTGAAAGAAAGAAAGAAAAAAAACAAGAATTGTGATATGAAATGGATGATGATGAAAAAAAACAGTGCGATAATTTATTCTTAATGTGTGACTCCCAAAAATAGTCATTTGTCATATTTTTTTCATCATCTTCAGCGCGTCTCCTTGAAGAAGTTTTGTTGTGTTCGTCAACTTTGGGCAGCAATTAGTCAAAGAAAAATCACATTGTGGGCAAAATGGGATAAAGAGAGCGATTTTTTTTCGGGAAAGGGCAAAGAGTGAATGATATTCAATGAGATGGTGAGAAATGACGAAATAATTTGTCATCAGCCAAAGTGAGCTGGAATTCTTGAAATTGTCTTTTCTGTGAGAGTTTCAGGGAGATTATCTGTGAGAGATTCTTCTCTCTAAATAACCCCGCAAAAAAGACCGCGAATAATCTGAAGAAAGTCAATAATTCTTAATTTGTTGTGTTCTTATGAACAACTGAAGACATTGAAGGCATTATTGTGACAATTTTTGAAGAAATATAGCTTTTCTTGACGGTTTTCAGTACTTTTTGCTGTTTCTGTGACCCATAATCGTTCACGAATGGATTTCTAGATTGCATTTGAGTTCAATTGGCTTATAAAAGAAGTGGAAAATAACTTTGTGGCCTAAAAACCACTCTAAACAGTTGAAAAGTGCAATAACAGAATCTCAAAACGAGTTCTTAAGGGCTTTTTTCGCTATAATTCGCTAAAATTCTCTATAAATATTAGCTGTAATGCATATCGACGGGTGAATGGAAAACTATGAAAAGTCGATTTATCATAGTTTTCGTCTTATGTATTTTTGAAAAGCCTTTTATTTGTTCTTTCTGTACAAGAATTTTAAGATTTGTATCTTATGAGACAATAGAAAAAAATCTTATTTATCTAAAAAGCACAAATGGAAAAAAATTGTCATGTTTTGCGAATGAAAAGTCGAATTTTCATTGTTTACGCTGAACAATTTTTCCCCAAGAAAAATGTCTCAAAAATTGCAGTCAAATGCATAAAAACGTATTTTTAGAAAATATTTGTAGATTTTCAGAATTATCCTAAAATGTTTTTTTGGACTTTAAATGAATATTTCTCATATCTTTTAAATTTTTTCACTTGAAAACATTAAGAAAAAGTTCAATTGAAGTATGAAAAGTTGATTTTTTGTATAAAATCAACTCAAAAACCATTAAAAATCGACTTTGAAAAGTAATATTTTCAGATTTTCTATTAATTTTGCCACATTTTAGTGAAAAATTTCAATAAATACCAATAAAACATTTACAAAATAAAAAATACAGAGCAATATTTTCACTTTAACGAACGATTTGAAGGCATTTTGAGTATTTTGAAGTAAATTTGGCAAATTTCGCAGCTGTTTTAATGCAAAATTTTGAACTCGCTTTGCTGAAAAATGGCGATTTTGACTTTTTATAGTTTTCGAGGCACCCGTCGATATCCGAGCTAATTAAAAGGTCGCCAGCGAACTGAATTCTGTTCAAATCGCGCAATTTAATTCAAATGTAAAATCACAGATAAATGGAGGCAATATTTAATCACTTTTTAACTATTTTCTGACCGTCAATGAAGCACCAAAAAACGCGATATTCTTTTTGCATCATATTAAAAAGTATCACAATGATAACACACGTGAAAAAGGGAATTTCTTAGCGATTTTGACCGGATTTTAATGACTTGAAACGATTAAAACATGGTTTAATTCGACTGGTTAATGCTCTCGGATTTATCGGTATTTTTAGGCCTTTTTAAACGGATAGTTTGAGGACATTTTGTAGGATATTTGAAGAATTCCCTCAAAGAGCAATATTTATGTGAAATATTTCTAATTGCACACTAAAATACACCTTTTTTGCTATTTAATGTCGTGAGGGAAGAATTTCTTAATATTTATTGGCATTTTTGCCAGAAATTTGGATGAATTTATAGAAATTCACGCGTCAGCTCAATGAAATCTTTCACAAAAATCACTGGATTGACGAAATCTTCTCTCATGAGAGATGCTTTTGCCGTCAAGAATACCGAAAAACTCAGTTTCCACAAGTTTCTCCACAGACATTTCTCTCACCAGTTTCTACATTTCGAGAATATGAGCCGAGAAAAAGGCGCTCATATCGAGTGGATGATAATAATAAATTAATAAAGATGATGGACATCAGGTGTGGAAGTGACTCGGGAAGGTTTTTCAGCCACTTTTTTCGTCTTTTGTGCAGGAAGAAAAAAAGTGTTACTGGTTAATTTCTTAATTGCTCTATTCTCATGTGTGTTTGTGTGTGTATTTGTGGATGGAAAAAATCGTGACCATGACCTGTGAGTCACTCGGCAGTGTTGTGTTGGTTTGAGATTTCAAGAGGACTTTGGCTTGTGTTTGCTGCGCTCTTAAGAAATTATTATTAACACTCCTCACTAAGTATAATGTGCTATTTTGTTGCCTTCATCAATTTTTTGGGAGGGAAGGAAGAAGACGAGCTGCTTGTCTTCTTCTGAGCTTGAGAAGAGGAGTTCTAAAGAGAGTGTTTTTGGTAATGTTGGGAACAAAATGCCACCGACAATATTTCCTTTTTAAGAAATCCTTTTGATGATTCTATTATATGAAAATGCGCACAGAAAACTGTATTTCTCTCTCTCAGACTCTCATCTCGCTTTAGTCATAATGTGTAATTGAATGAGTGTGGCCAAGACAGATGAGAAGAGAGGTAATTAATAAAAGAAAATTCCATTTAACCCGCCAGATTCAACGGATGGTCATAAGTGGAGGCAATTTCAAGCCAGACACGCTGAAACCGAAGGAAGTTGTATCTCTGCTACTTGACGATGAGGAAATTGAGCTGAAGTGTAAGTGTTGCTGTTTAACTAAATTAATTGAGCAGCTCCAGAAGGGCGCGCGATCAAAATGCACTTTTTCACCTCTTTCTCCGCAATTTTCCCCATCAGATCGCCAGAAGACGGAAGAGCGCAAGAACCTGGAGGAAACGTCAAGAGCGGAGAAGGATCGCGACAGAAAGAGGAAATTGACGCCGTCCAGCAAGGTGAGTTCAATTATTATTTAATAATTCAATTTATCATACATTGTTTGCTGAAAAACAGCAATTTTTCATATAGATTTTGGTGTTGTTTCAATTATAATCTTGACTCAATTTTCTTTTTACTTCTATATTGATTGAAATTCTAATAAAGAATGAATTTTTAAAATACAAGTTGAATATTAAGCGTTAATACCGCTTCAAAATTTGCTCAATTTACCTCAAAAAGCTTCTAAATCATCCATTAAAATGTTGATTTTGCTCTATAAAATATATTTTATTGAGTTTTTAGTTAATTTCATACATCATTTATTAGAAAACAAAGTCAAAACAGTGCTAAAAAATTATTTTTTCACATTTCACATGTACTTTTCTATTGGATTTCTGGAGCAATTCTCAATCACACAAGGAATGTAAAGAAAAAACATGTGTTAAATTGGTTTAACACATTGTATAAAAATATTCACAACTTGTGTTATTTTCTATAATGTCACACATGTGTTAAACCATTTAATTGAATGTGTTAAAAGTAGAATAACAGATCTAAATCTGCAAATATCTTGCAAAAATAGATCAATCTGTCATTTTGGCTCTCATTTTAAGACATAAACATGAAAGATATTTGCAGTAAATTCTTTTTATCGTAGATTTACTAAATATTTACTTGAATTTTAATAATTTAGGCAAATTTCACAAATTTTCCTCTCTTACACATTGTGAAATCGCCTTAAAACTCTAAAACATTGTTTTAACGAGAATAGAAAAGGCTGTTTTTCCTCATTCACTTCGAATGTTAAACTTTTACATGTTTGAAGTTTAACATTTTCGTGTGTGACTGAGAATTGCACCATTGATTTGTAAGGAATTAAGAATTATGCTAAATTGCAGGTTAAAATCAATTTTTCATGTTCTTCTATTCATTCTTTGATTTGTTAAAAAGCATTTCTTGTTGCAATTTGGGGGAAACAACTTGATGAAAAAGATGTTTTTCTCAGGTTTCAATTAATTTTTCCGCACTGAAACGTTGACAATCTGTCTATTAAGCATTGTTTTATGCTTTTCTGTCCAATTTATTCAGTGAATAATGATGCAAATTGACTGCAATTCAACCAACGGATAACTTTTGCGCATCTTGATGGGAATATTCTTATGCATTTTGGCATTCTTCCTTCACCTTTTGCGATTCACTGATCACCGTTTGACTTTGCGGTGTGCGGGAAAAAGAAATATTATTAATATTGCGAAGAATATGTTTTTGTCTGGCTACTTTAAGGGAATTTTTCATCTTTTGAGTGTTTCACGCTTCAATAGGTTGGAAGATTGCTCATTTACTCGTTGTAATACATTTTAATGGATAAAAAACACATTTGCAGTTTTGTATGTTTTAATGTCTGCGTTGTGTTGTGTTGTATAGAACAAAAGGACCGCGTGTTTCTGTGCAGAAAAAACAATATGAGGAAGACGAAAAAGAGCTGCGAGAAAGGGTGAAATAATACTCATAATCTGTGCGATTTATGACAAATTTAACAACACGCACACCTCAAATGTAATATTGATGAAATTCTTCATCATTACTTAATGAATTTTACCATTACTGGAAGTCATATTTAATTACTCGGTGTTCATGTTTTGTGTATTTTTCGCAATTCTCATTTTATGCAATTTCATTTATTATGACTTTTAATAATGCTTTTTTCAGTGGCTTCTTCACCAACACTTTCCTTCCTCAAAAGGCAAGAAAAAAGAGCGCATCTTTTGCGCGATTGGCGCAAAGTTTAACATTTTTTCGCGGTTTTATAATCGCGTCTCACAGTGAAATGTACACACACGCACGAAGAGATGCTTATCATTTTCAATTTGTTGCGCTATGATGATCATTTGTGGTGTATTTTGACGTGTATTGTTTTCACCCTCTTTCTATGCTTGCGATTATTTATTTAACGGCCACTCACACATTGTTCTGATTTATAGCCAAGAAATGCAGAGCCAAAAGTTGGAATTTTGCAAGAAAACTTCCTTCCCAGCGAACACAAAATGCTCAAAGTCTCAAAAGTTTAGCTTGAAATAGTTGATTTTTGTGCTAATATTCGCTCAAATTTTAGCAATTTGATTGCTGCACTAGCGCACGTGGCGGCGACCAGTCAAATTATTGATGCGCACTTAAATTCATAGATGTCGCTTCATGTAAAACCATGCAATTTCAATAATATACTTCGTGATTACAACACCTAAAAGCGATTACAGACTTGCTGATGATCCACGAATCCTCCGTGGATGAGCTTGGAGTGATAATTCGTGGCTGAACTGGCGCTAAACACACTCAGGAGTTATTCTTCTTTGTCGCCACTAGCGACACTGTGTTTGGTGTGTTCAGCTGTCAGTTGATTTGCATTCTTCAAAAGCGTGAAATTTTACATTAAAACTGCGAAAATTGATGATTCGCAGAAGAATTTAATGATTTTAATAATCCAGGAAATAATTCGCAAGAGATCCGCCATTTTGCCTTTCCTGAGTCGCGCAATGTTTCGGCGCATTTTCGCACGAGCGCGCTGCCGTCGGGAACCCCCAAAAAATCGGCTGAACTTTCGATATATCGAAGAATTATTCGCGTTTTATGGCTAAGCGAACTGTCAGTCGAACACACTCGCGCTCTCGCTTTTGCTCCCGTGGATAATCCGCTAGTCTGTAATCGCTTTAAGTGAATTGTATAAATAGCGTCATGCAAATAACCTCAAAAGTGAGAGAATTTGCACGCGGAAACTGGATAAAAGGAATTCCATGGAAGTTGGACTTCCTGTTTTCCTGCTAAATTTTTATCAGGAAAAATTGCAAAATTAACCACAATATTTAGCGGAAATAGAGCAGAAAAATCGGAAAGATTGCTAAGAAAATTATTGAAAAATTAGCTTAAAATTGTGCTCTAAATTGATGTATTTTTAACACTATTGAGTTTTCTCCATCGTTGATTGGTTCCTTTTCAATACTTCGGCTGAGAACTTTTTGTTCAAGTGCTGCTCAAATTTTAGCACTTTTTAGCTGAATTAACTGCTTTTATTTTAGCAATTTTGGCTCGCTGGGTTGTTAAAGTACTTTCAACTTCTCCAGAAGAATTGCCTAATGAATTCTAATGTTTAACTCTCAAGACAGAGAGAGAGAGAGAAGAATGCGATGTTTAATTCACGTGCATAAAGTTAGTGTCAAAATAATATATTTCTGTGGGTTTTACAGATGAGGCTCAAAAAGTGGGAAGAAATGGTAAATTCAGGAGAATTTATGATGAGCATCTCAAGAAAAAGGGGGGAAAAAATAGAATTTTTGGTTATAATTTCTTCCACAGCATCAACACGACGAGCTCTGATGGTTGTTGCTTTTTGTGAAAGAAATATTGTTGACATGTTCTTATAGTTTCACCTGTTTTTATTGCATGTGGATGAAAAGATGGCAAAGAAAAGATGCAAAAAGAGAGAGAGATTTTTTCCTCTCAGTCTCTTTACTTTATATTAATATGGCAAAAACAGCAAAGAGTGTGTATTTTTTTCCGCCTTGATATGGAGGAAAAGATGATGTTCTGTGTGGATATCATTTTCTGAAATCTTAATCGTTTTCCATGTTTTAAATTCTCTAACAAAAATTATATTTACTCTCCATGTTTGATGCGATGCTCTTGGGCTTGAGAATGTCCGGTGGGAAAAGATTTCTCAGGAGGTCACAAATATGTCTTTTGCCATCATCTTCTTCTGCCCAAACACGGCAGAGAAGCAGAGAAAAATGTGGCATATGGAAGTCACAGAGAGACAGAGAAAAGTCGGGTGGTTTATTTGATTTCTGCCAAATCAAACCAATTATGTAGCATAAAATTGGTTTACACTCTGCTGCCCTTGCAAATTGTAACACAACTCCGAGTTGGAAGACGGAGAAGGAATTTCGTGAACATAAGGGTGATTCAGAGACATTTATTCGCTGAACTTCACTGCCAAGAAGTGCGTCAACAGTGAACAACGAATGCCGATTACAATTGTCGCTTGCATTGCTGGTTATTTTAATATTTGTTTCTTTTTCTATTTCTCAATGTCTAAATTAGGAGTCGTTGCAACTTTACTTGCGCAGCATTTTAAATAAGCTATCAAAGTTATGAATTCATATAATTTACGAAAGTGGCGAATTTATTTCTGTTGGTCTCTGAAGTTAAGACAAGGCGGAAAATTCACGTGAAACCCGAGGAAATAGACAGTAATGATATTTTCAGGTTGATTAGCACAGATTAATTGGATTTATCAAGCCTTTTGTGTACAAAATCCACCAAATTGTGAGGTTAATGGTGAAAACACAGCATTTGTCATTTGTAATTTGTTCACGAATGTCAATTTCTTCCCCACGCGAATCGTATATTTTCCTTCCTGCTCACGACATTTCTATGTCGAGTGTGTGCCTGCAGATTTTACGTTGGGCAACCCGCGCTGAATTTGAGTTTGACGTGTCTGACAATGCGCTTGCTGTCAAAATGGTCAAAATAGACAAATTTCACATGGAAAATGGAGAAAATCGTCAATGAAATGAATTTAAGTGTGGAAAAAACTCAAAAATTGAATGATTTCGTCCATAATGAGCCATAATTGTGGAGAAAATCAGATTGTGTGAAGGCGTCAAAAGTTGATCTGCAGACCAAAATTCTGAAGGGAATCTGACGGGATCGAGCCGAGATGGTATGAGCAAAATACTGTGTTTTCACCATTAGAAACTGAATTGAAACTGATTGGCATCCAAAGGGATTTAAAAGTATTATTTGATTCAATTTTTCACACTGGAAAAACTCTTGGAAGATAATGGAAAATTGTCTTTCACTTCCTGTAAAGAAGATTTCCTAACTTTCACGTGGAGAAAAATGGACAGAAACTAGGCGGAAGTTTGAATAATCTCTCCCAGAAACACTCTTAAAACTCTAGCAAAAAAATGACTTTTTAACAGAGGAAAGTCGTATTAAATAAACATGTCAAATTCATAACTTTTACGAATTGAAAACTGTAAAGTTACATCGACTCTTCAATTTAACTTTTTTATGTTAAAAATGAAAAATTTTATGTTTTTTTTTTATAGTTAACAACGTAGATTTTTGCTAAAAAAAATTTGTTCCAAATTTTAGAATTTTCCTAAAATATTATTAAATTTTGAATAAGTAAAATATTTGAATATCTTTTCATTTTTTCACTTGAAAACTTTAAAGAGAAGTTGATTATTAAGAAGTTGTTTTAATAAAATGTTCTCGAAAACTAATATTTCCAGTTTGTCTTTACATTTTGCCATATTTTAGTGAAAAGAAGTAAACATATTCCAATAAAATCAATTGTAAAATTCCAGAAAACAATTATTAGAAGATATTTTGGGGATATTTCGGTAATTTTGGCATGTTTCGAAGCGTGAATTACACAAAATTTTCAATTCGCTTTCGTGAAAAGTGACGATTTTCACTTTCCATAATTTTCTATTCATCCGTCGAAATATTCTCGCTTGAAATTAATTACGACAGAAGGCGATGGAAGCGACGATTTACACCGAGAGTAATTTTAATATGTTGGTAATTGAAATCTTATCTCAACTTCATTCTCTACTGAACTTTATTTTCTCTCTTCTTCTGACTTGTCTTTGGCAGTGGAATATTGACATGAGAAAATGCTATAAAGGCTCAATAAACAAAATGTTTTCCACATCATAAAAGATACTTTTTCAACTTGTTTTTCGCCTGTGCAAAAGAACCACTCAATATTATGTGTATGAAATCATAAAGTTCCGCCGTTGTCTGGAATCTTTTATTGTTTTTCGTCTTCATTCGAACCAACAACGAGAAAAAAAAGAGGAAAAACAGTGAATATAACGAAAAATTAACACAATTTTGTGCGTATATTTCACCTTTTCCGGGCTCTCTTGTGTATGGCAATTAAAAATTAATGGTTTCTTAAGACTTGGATGGCTCAAGTTGAGTCTCTTCTTCGTTTTTTTTTCTTCTTCTTCATTGTGTAACGTATGAAATCGAGTTGATGGCGACCGCGAGGGTCTTTTTGGGGGGTTCACAGATTGCTTCGGAGTTTTTCTCTCTCTCTTAAGAATATTTCTCGGGTGGAATATTGAATGCAGAGGCAAAGATAACATGATGGTAAAAAAGAGCAAGAACTTTCAGTGTTTCGGTAAATGATTTTGCTCGTTCAACGGAACGGTGACGGTGGAAGACAATCAAAAAGGTGGAAGACAAGAAGAAAAAACGCACAGTGAAAGAGAAACAAGTCAAAATTTTATTTTATAACATTACCGGGATTTTGTGTGAGATATTCTTATTTATATATTGTTTGTCTTGTTGTTTTGGAGTGAGAAAGAGAAAGAAAGAGAGAGAAAAAAGTCGTTGAGAGTGAAAATCTATCGCAATGAGATATTTTTCATGGTGAATTCTTTGAATATTTGTAAAATTAGTGGTCAAATAAGCAAATTTAACACACTTTGGAATGTTTCAAATGAATTTTTATCATCAAAATCATTTAATAACGAACAAATATAGAGTTTATTTGGTTTTTCTGGTGCATATTAAACTCCAGAAAGTTTCTTTGCACACAAAAAAAGACTCTTATTTGAAGCTTAAACTGATGCAAACTGGAATTCTGTGTGAGATATTCTTATTTATATTGCCTGTCTTATAACTTTATAGACAGACAAGAAGAGAGGGAAAAAAGTGGAGAATTGCTCGTTGAGAGTGAAAATTAAGTCATGATAATTGTTTTCCTTCTGTAATGCGATATTTTTCACGGTAAATTTGATGGAATTCCTTGAATGTGCGCGGAGGTAAATGGCCAAAGGAGCAAATTCACCTCGCTTTGGCAATATGGAATGTTTTTTATCGTCGAAAATATTTGATAGAGTGACGAATATATGATGGTGTTGTTTGGCCTCTCTGGGGGATGTTTAATTAAGCAAGGTGGCGCGAGAGAGAGAAGATTGTGAAATTCTCCTTCCGTTCTGTCTTCGCATCCAATTGAAATGTTGTCAACAGCAATTGGACAAATATAGGAAGATATCACGTGCAATTGTGATATAAAAAACGTCGCGAGGAAGTTGAGAATTATCAGTTTGTGTTGCCAAAGTGAAGAGTTAAGAGTGAAAATGCTGAAAATTGTCCTGTTGATGGCGCTGAGCGCTTATGTTAGCGCGCAGACCTATGATTACTGCCTGGAAGTGGGAAAGCCAAATTGCGGAAGTGAGCACATCGCCTGCGAGCCGAACAGCTTCGGCACTCCTGCCGATGTCACGGACATTCAGTTTGTGCCGATGACGGATGCGCTGAAGGCGCGCATCGTGGCCAAGCACAATGAGTACCGCCGGCGAGTGGCCAAGGGACAGGAGACGGGCATTCCGGCGGCCACGAAGATGGAGGAGATGAAGTGGGACGAGAATCTGGCCTACGTGGCCAGCGAGCACGCCAAGCACGGCAATTTCACTCACGACAAGTGTCGCTCAACCCCAGATTATCCCTATTCCGGACAGAATCTCGCCGCTGGAACCTCCAGCCGCGCCTACTCCGATCCCGGCGCCACGATTGACGCCTACATCAAGATGTGGTACGACGAGATGCCCATCGTGAGGGATCAAGTGCCGTCGTGCGTGAGCAAGTTCACCACGTCGCCCAACTGCATGCCAGCCGGACACTTCACGGCGGTGGTGAAGGACAAGAACAAGGCCGTGGGATGCTCCGCTGTGACGTACAAGAAGGGCTCTTCGTACGGATTCCTGCTCACCTGCAACTATCCCGACACCAACATGCTCAACCAGCCGACGTACGTCAGCGGAACTTCCTGTTCTGCCTGCGCCAGCGTCGGAAAGACCTGCAATGACGGACTCTGTGCCTAAACACATCTTCGAGATGATCAAAAATGTACAAGATTTGTGGTTTCGGGAAATAAAGCATGAAAAATGTGGCAATTCGATGAGTTCACAATAATCGACGGGTGAAGAGGAAACTATGCGAAGCTCTTGAATTTACAGATCAATTTTCATTAAAATGAGGAATGTTAAATGGACGATCAACTGTTTGGTCGAATTGAGATCGTGACTTGGTCTTGACACAAGACACGTGGCGTCACAGAATATCAATCTTTCCAACTATTAATGCAAGGATTTATGAGAAGAAAGGAAGAATTGGGAAAAGGAGAAGCACTCCAGAGTATCATGAACATGAAAGATATTTGCAGAAAATTCTTTTTACCACTGATTTACTTATAATATGCTTTTTTCTATTAATTCTAAGCAAAAAGTGTATAAAAATGCTACTTTTCTCACTTGAAAAATGTCAATTTTGTCTTAAAATGAGGGATCATTTTGGCCAGATTAAGATCGTGGCTTGGTCTTGAGACAAGACACGTGGCGTCACAGAATATCAGTCTTTCCAACGCTCAATGGAAGGATTTATGAGAAGAAAGGACGAAAAAGGAGGCACAGAACATTTAATTTCAATTAATTTAAATTTAATTTAGTGAGAATTGATTAATTGTTCTATTAATTCTGAGCAATCAAAAATGTCGATTTTGTCTTTTCGTAGTTTTCTATTCACCCGTCGCGATAGAAATCAACGAGAGGAAGATATAACTTGGGATAAATGTCGTTGAATTTGCAAATTGTGTTGGCTTTTTTCGAAAATTTACTGCTCAATTTAGTAAATTTTGGATTTAGCGAAGCTGAAAGACATGTTTTGAGATGATAAAAGAAAAGTGCTTATCATTAATGCGGACAATATGTTATCAATTCCTAGAATTCTACTGCGTGTGCTTTTTGTTTCTGAGAAAAGCTCAGTGAAATATTATACTTAATTGGGTAAATAGAGAAATTATTATAAAAGCCTGGGGATTCGTGAGGTTTTGGGCACAGTGTGTTGAACGAGCGTCTAAAGTTCACGATGTTGCGCCTTGTCGTGTTGGCGATCGCAATTGTGACCTCTGCTGAGGCCATCGATTGGTGTGAGATGAAGGCGGAAGGGAACACATCGCGTGTCTGCCGAATAGTTTCCCAATGGGTCAGAATGTGAGGAACATTCAGATGGTGCCGATGACACAGGAGATCATCCAGGCGGGCGTCGATCGTCACAACTTCCATCGCAGCAATGTGGCGTCCGGATCTGTGGCGGGAATTCCCTCGGCCGCGGCCATGCAGAAGATCAGCTGGAACACGGATATGGCTTTCGTGGCGTCTGAACATGCTCGTCATGGAAATTTCAAGCACGACGACTGCCGAGGATTCACAGGATTCTCCAGTTCTGGCCAGAATCTCGCCATGAAGTACAATTATTACGCCTACACGAACATCACGGCGGAATTTCTCTACCTCATCGATTTGTGGTATGACGAGATGACAATTGTCAGGGATTACAAGTTGTCCTGCATCGACTCCTTCACCCTCGCCAATCCGGACTGCATGGGAACAGGACACTTCACGGTGATGGTGAATGACATCAACACTCATTTGGGATGCGCCCTGGTGACTTTCGAGACGTTCATGAGTGATTATTGGTGGTTCACATTGATGAGCACTTGCAACTACGCCGGAAACAATTGGATTGACGGCAAGGTTTATGCCAGAGGAGCTCCTTGCTCAGGATGTGCCAAGATTGGCAAGACTTGCGACGTCGCAACGAGTCTTTGTGTGTAAACACAGCGAAAAATGCTGATTTTGCACAATAAATGTGAAAGAAATCCATTTGATTTTCAGTGCGTAAATGAATATTTTGCTATTAATAATATCCTCCACGTGTTCCAATTGATCAAATATTATGTTGATTTGATGCCTGAAAGTGCTGAAAAAAATTTAATTTTTAACCTTATTTGATCAGATGTGATTGTGTTGTGAAAGTAATTCGAAATACACGCATATCATGTGATATTGCGTAGAGGAAAAATCGCACAATCAACCCATCACACGTCAATTTACAATTCCAATTGATCAATTTATTAAACTGCGATGCGAGAGAACATTGGTGAGAAATTCTGTTATTTCCCTGGGTGGCCTTTTAAATGACTTTTCTCACTGCATTTTCACCTGGTAAATTGCGTGAATTGTGACTGTTTGTCCAGTGATAAAAACAACACAACTTCAGTTCCCTGTGAAGAGCGATGGTGTGTGCGCTTCTTATCGCCGCCAGTGCTGTGATCTCTCTCTGATAAGGTGATGATGATCTGTCGACGCGACTGTGCGATGGTGAAAACAGTGCTTTTCTCTGTGCTCTCTTGCATTTTCATGAGTTGTTGGGCGGTTGATTGGTGCCAAATGGAGGAGAAGTACTGCTATGGTCGAGAACATATCGCCTGTGAGCCGAACAGCTTCCCAATCGGCGGGGATTCCAGTGAGATCGAGATCATTCCGATGCGCGGAGAGCTGATGGCGGTGGCTGTTGACACCCACAATCGGCACAGAAGCAACGTGGCGGCGGGAAGAGTGGCTGGAATTCCCATGGCGACGAAGATGGAGAAGATGGTCTGGAATGATGATCTCGCCTTTGTGGCGGAACAGCATGTGAAGCATGGCAATTTCCAGCACGATCAGTGTCGCTCTTTCGCCCAATTTCCCCTTTCCGGACAGAATCTCGCCATCATCTACTCATCGATTCCCATCACAAACAACACGGCGACACTTCAGGAGCACATTGATCTCTTCTTCGGCGAAGTGTCCATCGTGAGGGATCAGCAGATGTTGTCCTGCATTGACGACTTCACCATCAACAATCCACCCTGCATCGACGCCGGACACTTTACTGTCCTCGTGAAGGACATCAACAACGCCTTGGGCTGCGCAATGGCCAAATTCCGGGCTCTTTACGGCGGAAGGTGGCTCCACACTGTGCTCACGACGTGCAACTACGGACACACCAATCTCATTTCCCATCCAATCTATGCCACAGGAACTCCGTGTTCGGCGTGCGCTTCCATTGGGAAATCCTGCGAAAACGCCACGAAATTGTGTGTTTAGCAGCGATTGGAGAAAGGAAACTCATGTCATGCAATAAATGCCTTTGAAGCGGTGAAAATATGCATTTTATTTCACATTCTTTGCCACAATTTGCTCCGGAAAATCTCGTGTTTGAATTTGCGTGTAAAAACACATTGAAAACAGGTAAAAACTGTCACTTGGCCTTTCCACAAACGCTGAAAATCCGCTGAACAAGAGTGCTTGAATGAGCATTTTACTGAAAAGTGCGTGAGAAGAAGACATTTCCTTCAATTCAAAGAACTCCACCAAAACACCCTGAAAAATAGTTAAAACTAATTCTGACGCAAATTATGTGTTCTAAAGAGTTGTAGGCTGTAAAATCACCTTTCCAAAGTGCCATTAATTTTGAAAATTCGTCTAAAAATGGCGTCATTATGAATATTTTTTATTATGAAATGCATAAAAATGACTTTTCTTACAAAAAAAACTTTACAAACGCTGTTTGGCTGCTAAGTGTCCAAATTGGGATGTTTTAGAAAATCATAGGCTGTGAAAGAATCTTTCCAAAACGGTGTTATTTTTGTGAATCCGTCAAAAAGTTGCGTTTTTATGAGTATTTTTAATATGAAATGCATTCAAAATGACTTTTCTGGCATAAAATACATCATAAACACTGTTCGGTGGTTATTTTTCAACCTTAAGATATTCTACAAAATTGTAGGCTATAAAATTCGTGCTATTTTTGGCAATTGAGCAAGAACTTTGGAAGATATGGACAAATATATAGAGAAAAATCGTCTCAAATTGACAATTTATTTACTTTGATTTTAATGGGAAAATGCACAGAAAATGCTAAGAATCCGTCCAATACTGATCACGAGATAAGCGGACGATTTCTGAGTATATTTGAACTTCAATTGAATTAACCTTGATTGTGGATGTTCTAAATATTTGCTGAAAATACACAATTATTATTGTATTGCATTTTGATTCGCCCATGAACTGTGCTTGCGGTGTTCTTGCGATGTTTGCTGTGTGACCTTAAATGTTTAATCAGGTGTTGAATATATATTTCTCAATTACAGGGCAATAAAAGAAAAACAGTGCGAATTCCAAGTCTATTTACCCAGTTTTTTACCGAAAAATACCTGCAATTCTAATTGACTTGTTATCGTGAAATTAGTCTCATCTCAAGCATTGATGGTATTTGACACAAATATTGTTGTTGCCATTCAAGGCGACTTGCGACGAAAAATATCTTTCTTTTTCCACGGCAAAAATCGCACGGTGTTTAGCGTGTTTGGAAAAATTTGCTTCACTAATACACTTTGTTGGGTTATTCAATTAAGAGGGCATGGTTTGTTTTGAGGTGTGATTGTTGCATAAGACAGGCGCTCTCATGCCTGGAATGCCACAGTTTTATTATGAATGTGCGCGCGCGATGTCTGCAGTTGCACAAGAAAGTCATGCCATCACTCGCAGGTATTTTCTGCCACGGAAAGTTGAGGCGAAATGTGATTTACCAGTCGCATGATCGTGACTCTTTTCCCGCCGTCTCACCGGCTCTCTGTCGCTCTTCTGTCATTCCAGGCGGCCGATGGGGCGGCGAAGCGGCCGCGCGACGGCGGCAGCTCGTCTGGGGCGCTCCTGGACGACGACGCGGCGTTTCTGGAGTCCGGCGCGCCGAGTCCCGTGGCCAGCGAGATGAGCCACGGCAGCAGCAAGATCGTGGAGTCCACGCCGGCCGACGACTCCAGCAACGAGGCTCTGGTGGTGGATTGCGACAGTCCAGGCGGATCTTCGGCGCCCGGTGAGTAGCAAAGCCACGCATTCCTTCCCATGACGTCAATGTCAGCCGCCAAGGGGGAGATAGTGCGCCCAGAAGCCCGCGAAAATTTCAGCAAGACTCAAGAAGTGAAAGTATAATCACAATATTTAGTTCCCACGGCAAATTGGCGCAATATTTTAAATTTGATCGCATTTATCTAGTAAAATCATCGAATCCTTATGATTTTCTAGGTTATGTTGTGACTGATGAAAGATAAATTCTGTGATTTAATAACTTAATGATATCAATTATTCCTCTTCAGCTGAAAACATTTCAATTTATCAGCCAAAGAACTAATTTTACCAGAAATTTAGTAATAAAATGAGCTTTAACTTCAAAGATAACCTCAAAAACATCGTTCAAGTTGGTGCAGTTTTTTTTTTTTAATTTCTATCTTATAAATTACTGTTCTTCAGCTGAAAACATTTCAATTTAACAGTCAAAGAATTAATTTATACCAGAAATTTAGTAATAAAATGAACTTTAACTTCAAACATAACCTCAAAAACATCGTTCAAGTTGGTACAGTTTTTTTTTTTATTCTATCTTATAAATTACTGTTCTTCAGCTGAAAACATTCAATTTAACAGTCAAAGAACTAATTTATACCAGAAATTTAGTAATAAAATGAACTTTAACTTCAAACATAACCTCAAAAACATCGTTCAAGTTGGCACAGTTTTTATTAATTCTATCTTATAAATTACTGTTCTTCAGCTGAAAACATTCAATTTAACAGTCAAAGAACTAATTTATACCAGAAATTTAGTAATAAAATGAACTTTAACTTCAAACATAACCTCAAAAACATCTTTCAAGTTGGCACAGTTTTTTTTTATTTCTATCTTATAAATTACTGTTCTTCAGCTGAAAACATTCAATTTAACAGTCAAAGAACTAATTTATACCAGAAATTTAGTAATAAAATGAACTTTAACTTCAAACATAACCTCAAAAACATCTTTCAAGGTTTGAAGAAAAGACTTTGTGAAGAGTTTCTATCAGTTTTTCAATTAAAATTTCAGTTGTAAGGAGTTTTCAGACTATTCAAGTCGAAAAGTCATCTTCTAACCTTATTTTTTCGATTTATAACCTCAAAATGCGCCGAGAGAATTTATCTCTGACGTGAATTAAGCTGAGTGCGATCAGCTGACTTCGGCCGCACTATCTCCCCCTTTGGCAGTGATAGCGGAGGTGACAATGTGCCATGGTTTGTCACAATGTGGGTGGGAGATCGCTGAGACACACTGGTAATAGCGTGGGAAATTATGGGTGAGAGAAGACAAACGTTTATTTGTTATATAGAAATATTGAATGGTTTTTATGCAAATCAGTTCATTGTTTGTGCGCAATTTAACAAATCTACCTACAATAATTCTTCACCGTGTGCGCATTGCCGAAAAATAAAAACGGCGCGAATGAAGAATCGGATGCTTGAGAGAAGAGAAGAGAAAAAAGACAAAAAAAAACAGTGGCCAACAGTCAAAAAATCTTTAATTCGTGAGAATTTTTCAATTTAGCATTTGCATTTTGATATATTCTCTCCATCTCTTTCTCGATTGTGTGTGTGTGTGTGCGTTGATTTATCATTCATTTTTATGATGAGCACGACATATTCTAGAGTGCGAGAGAGAGAGAGAGAGAGATAATTTGGTGTTTTTGAGCTTTTGCCACCTGATATTTTGATGCGGGGGAAAAAAGCTCCCGCTTCTTTGGTAATTGGACGTGACATACGGGCGAAAATTGGTGTAAAATTACCTTTTCTTGCACAGTTTTGCCCACCACTGAGATGTCAATCTCTTGTCTTGTGTTGCTGCATTTACACCTATAATTCAAGTTAATTGCCAGCATGTGTAAAGAGAGGGAAAAGCTCGAAGCTCAAGCGACAGTCAAAGTGTCGCTGCGGTGACTTCCAATCAGCGATTCACTGTCCATTTTCTCTGTCATGGAAGAATGAGAGACTGAGAATGGAGTGGAGCAAAGAAGGCATCAAAGTTGATTTCAATCAACCTGCGTTGTGCGAAAATGATGGTGTTCTTCGCGACTTTTCTATGGAATCAATTTACGCCTCTTTTGGGGTCTTTGGGAGAATAATCTTGTGTGACAAGGGAAAAGTGTCAGATAATCTGCATGATCTGTCCATATATGATGCATCGCAGTTCGCTAAAGTCTGCAAATTGTGTTGTGCGTTCATGTGCAATTCTTGCAAAAGAATGCGCGCGCGAGCATTTGGTTAGAAAGTGATTTATTATGCATGACGCAAAAGGGACAGTTCTTTGCGACATTGCATGCAATTTCCTTTACCAATTCCTCCACAAACTTGTGTCTGTGCGTGTTTTTTTTCTTCTCCAAATGCACAGAAAAACGTGTGTCTGGTGACAAATCTTAATTATCACGTACAGTTTTCCCCACTCGTAGGTGTTTTTAGTCGCGAAATGCAGCGCGAAAAGCTTCGCAGATTGATCACATGTGCGCGAGAGTGAATGGCGAATGACGAAGAGTTATGGCTTGACATTCGCGGTATGGACGAATTGATTTCAATCAGTCATGGGAATTGAATCAGTTGTCACCAAATCGAAAGTGCAAATGGATTTCGATGGTTTCAAGTCGATTTAATTTATGGCTCTCAACTGAATTCGACTCTTTTTCCCCATTTGACTTTTCTGCTCTCTCTGTGTGTGTGTTTCTTGGTGTGTTTGGCAAACAAACCGAAATTATTCTCTCTCTCTCTGGTCGTTGATTGCAAACTTGCCAATTTACAGTGTGATGTTGCGTGAGGTGAATTTGAGGCATTTTTTAAGCTCAATATATTCTTTACATCTATTGAAAATGGTGTGTGTCTCTGTGGAGTCTCTCTCTGTTGACTCAGAAGTTGTCGTGTTTTGGGTCAGGTCGCGTTTTTTTTCGCCTCCTTCTTTCTTGCATCTAATCTTAAATAGAAAAGACTAAAATGCTGCCTGGGTTTTTCTCAGCGGAATTCACACATTTGACTCTCTTGGCTGAGAGACGCCTAAATTGTCTTTTTTCGAGGTGGAAAGACAGAGTGAGAGAGAGAGAGAGAGAGAGGTGGAAAAGAGGCACGTGTGAAAATAAGTGACTGCAAGACCACTTCGAATGCTGCTCTTTGCAGAATTTCAATGAAAGTCCACATCATTGTCCACCCTCGCATTTTGGGATTTTTGCACAGAATTTCTAATGTGTATCTAATTGATTCTTCTCAGCTCGGAAAGCCACGCGATTGTGTTGATTAAAATGGTCAGTGGCACTCCAGCTGGGCAGGGGAAAGACAAGAAAACTCAGCAAGGTGATTGGAAGAGAGACACAATAATAGAGAAGCTTATTTCTTTCATTCTGACGAAGATAGTGGCTTAAAAAATCTATCCAATCTGTTGTCTTGGCCTGGATTTGATCTTGGAGCCCTTGAGTTGATATCTAAGCATGTTTGACATCCGGGTCGAAGGACCAGATATTGGAGTAAATTCAAAAACAAGAGTTTTCTTCATTCTCTCTTCGCCAAAAATCATTTTGGGAAGCAAATAAAGCGAAAGATCTTTATTAAGATAAAAAATCTCTCTTTATAAATGTTTTTTTTATTCTCAAAGTTTGTACTTTGAGGTTAAGTTAGGTTAATTTAAACGTATTCAAATGTCAAAGAACAAATCATTCAATTTCTTCCCTCATTTTCTTAGCTGATAAATCTTTGTGAAAGGCTGAAATGTTTTCATTTCACCGTGATTTTCTCTGTTTTCCAAATAAACCAACTCGTGTGCCGTCAAATTGCCTTGACCGAAGAGTGAACAAGAGACAATTTTGAGAATTATTGACTCACAATTCACTTTGAGGAAATCTCTTTTTTGTCATATTTTTGTCGAAACAGTGTGAAATTCCCACGAAGCTTAATTTCTGGGACATTTTCTAATGTCTGTTTGTCATTATTTGCTCCATAGACGCTGATTATTTCTCTTGCATATTAACTTTTGGGGTCTAAAAGAGAAGAGAAGAAAAGACAGATTCCAAACAATGGACTAATTTCACTGGACTGCGCGTCTGTGTTGTCATATGTGGAAGTCAGTATTATGCTGATGGAAAAAAGAGACTCTCTCGCATATGTTGTGCCCATCAAATGCCCATATTGGCCACTCGAAAAGTCCATCATTCACCGAGCGCTTCAGTGCCATTCTGTCCATAAGTCTCGGTAATTGGGATGGAAAATTGAGTTTCTCATGCGGCGTGCGCGCGATGTAAAACAATGGGTGTCCAGATGAGGTGAAATTCAATTTTATCTCGCCATTTTCGGACGCTTGATGATCTATAGGGTGCGTCTTATTTGTCCATTTTCATGGGATATTTCATTAATCCATCCATCAAATAGTCAAATTTCTCACACGCTGCCGCACAAAAAAAGAAAAACTGTGACTCAACGGCTGAAAAGTCCACAATTTAATGCTAATTAAAGAGAGGCGCGCAATATTGGATGGCAATGAAAGTGAATCCGAAAACCCTTTTAACACCTTTTCCTTCCACTCAAACACACTCGCCTCGCCCGAGTCTTCACAGGAAGTGTTCTCGATTGTGATTGACAACGTGACATTTTATGTTGGATAAAATTAGCATAAGATAGAGTTTAATGTGAAATATTAATTGCCCGGGTTTTGGTTGAATTTATAGCGATATCTTTAATGTCTTTTTCTTCAGTCCAAAATCAATCTTCAGTGTTTTTATTTTTATTTGGTGAAAGTCGACGGGTGAATGGAAAACTATGAAAAGTCGATTTAGCCTTTTATTTGTTCTTTCTGTACAAGAATTTTGAGATTTGTATCTTATGAGACAATAGAAAAAAATCTTATTTATCTAAAAAGCACAAATGGAAAAAAATTGTCATGTTTTGCGAATGAAAAGTCGAATTTTCATTGTTTACGCTGAACAATTTTTCCCCAAGAAAAATGTCTCAAAAATTGCAGTCAAATGCATAAAAACGTCTT